CGCGGGCAGTAACTGCCGACGATGACCGTAGTCGCAGGCAGTGCCTGCTGCCGGAGATGACCGTAGTCGCAGGCAGTGCCTGCTGCCGGAGATCACCGGAGTCGCAGGCAGTGCCTGCTGCCAGCGATGACCGTAGTCGCAGGCAGTGCCTGCTGCCGGAGATCACCGTAGTCGCAGGCAGTGCCTGCTGGCGATGACCGTAGTCGCAGGCAGTGCCTGCTGGCGATGACCGGAGTTGCGGGCAGTAGCTGCCGGCAATAGACGGAACCGTGGGTAGGAGCTGCCGGCGATGACCGGAGTTGCGGGCAGTGGCTGCCGGCAGAGACCAGAGTCGCGGGCAGTGGCTGCCGGCGATGGACGGAGCCGTGGGTAGGAGCTGCTGGCGATGGACGGAGTCGCGGGCAGTAGCTGACGGCGATGACCGGAATTGCGAGCAGTAGCTGACGGCGATGACCGGAGTTGCGGGCAGTAGCTGACGGCGATGACCGGAGTTGCGCGGGCAGTAACTGCCGACGATGACCGGAGTCGCAGGCAGTGCCTGCTGGCGATGCCCGTAGTCGAAGGCAGTGCCTGCTGCCGGCGATGACCGTAGTCGCAGGCAGTGCCTGCTGCCGGCGATGACCGTAGTCGCAGGCAGTGCCTGCTGCCGGCGATGACCGTAGTCGCAGGCAGTGCCTGCTGCCGGCGATGACCGTAGTCGCAGGCAGTGCCTGCTGCCGGCAGAGACCAGAGTCGCGAGCAGTGGCTGCCGGCGATGGACGGAGCCGTGGGTAGGAGCTGCTGGCGATGGACGGAATCGCGGGCAGTAGCTGACGGCGATGACCGGAATTGCGAGCAGTAGCTGACGGCGATGACCGGAGTTGCGGGCAGTGCCTGCTGCCGGCGATGACCGTAGTCGCAGGCAGTGCCTGCTGGCGATGACCGTAGTCACAGGCAGTGCCTGCTGCCGGAGATGACCGTAGTCGCAGGCAGTGCCTGCTGCCGGAGATGACCGTAGTCGCAGGCAGTGCCTGCTGGCGATGACCGTAGTCACAAGCAGTGCCTGCTGCCGGCGATGACCGCAGTCGCAGGCAGTGCCTGCTGGCGACGACCGGGGTCGCGGTCAGTAGCTTCTGGCGATGGCCGGGGTAGCGGGCGGTAGCTGCCGCCAGAATACAAACTGCGGCCCGCAGACTAAATGTCACTGCTGGATAACACTCTGGCAATAGTTGTTGTCGAGGCGGCGTAAGTGGAGCTGGTGTACGAAGTACGCGCGAAGTTATTTGCACCGATGAACGAGACGCGGAGCTAGAGTACCTGCCGCTAGCACCCAGCTACTGCTGAGTATTCTGGACCTGCACAGAGCACCCGTACCGGAAACGAGGCATAGCACAAAAACTTAGCGGAAGCGGTGCAGCACACAAAATCCATATATATACCCATAGTAGAGGCTTGCAACAGAGCAGATGAAATTTAAGAGTAAGGTGATCTTCTGCTCCGAGGCAGAGATTGCCGCAATTGTAAATGTATGAAATGACTAAAGTAGCTTACGCGACAGTCATAGGTAGTCTGGTCAAAAGACAGCGAATTGGAGGTGGCAGAGGCGATTGGAAGTGGCCACTGATCACTGCACCAGTTCCTGTTACCAAGCAGTTTCTCACATTATAATCTTTAACTTCTTCAGTAAGGCTTTTAGCGAGCTTAACCTAGTTTTGCACTTATTTTATTGTATTTCATTAGTACTTATACACATGTTACTGTTGATTACTTAAGAGCGTTATGTTAGAGAAAACTGCATTATCTAAAAATCATAGCTACTTAAATAAATTATTATTCCAGATACAACTTTGGCGAACCAAGCATTTTGTTACTTTAGTATTTATATACTGCGCACTGCTTACATCTTCGTCCTTATTATGATCCTGCATTCTTCGGCATAAGTGAGCGTGGGGATATATATACTCCACGCTCACTTATACCAAAAAATGTTCTGGACAGCTCTGTGTAGAGGACAGTTGTTGGTGGGTAGCCACTCGCAGATTTCATAGAAACAGAGGGCACTCGTCGAGCAGCAAGCAGTTCAATCGGCCGTTGACAAGAGAAGATGCAGTCGCGAGAGCAGCCGTCCTGTAAGTCTGCCAAAACAACTGGCGGCATCGCATGGGCAGCTCAAATAGCAGAGCCTTTACGGCCGTGTACGCAGTGTTGGTTATTGAGGTCGGATTTACTTGATTACCTGGCGATAAAAGTAGCCAAAGTTACGACCACACACATTCATGCGTTGTACTGGAATGGAATAAGTCATATTTTCCAATATTTGTAGAACTAATACAACTAAAGCTTTCGCTCTAAATAATAATCTCATAAGCAATATACCAAAAATTTACTTTTGAGACATGTTAAAAAATAAAAAACACTCCATGAACAGAAAATAATAGACTAGCATTTCGCTCGAATAAAACCAAAAATTTAAAAAGCATATCAATTCTAAATAAAGAATAGATCTCACAAACACCACCGCGTGCTACGTCGCTCGCAGCGATTGAATTCGCGAGTCTGGCAAAGGAACAGCCGCAGCACAGGTGCGTCGGGAGTGCTGCAGTTGATGCCAACAGAGCTGCATCGTACAGTACACACACAGCTTGGGGAGATTTGCTTGCTTGGATCTGTTTTGCTTTACGCTGGTAATGGCTGTAATATGATGTACAACACACACGACATTCGTAAAGAAACAGTAGATATATCAAGGCAAGCTTGCAAGGCCGAAAGTAATAAATGTAACATTTCATCTTCACAAACTTACGCATAAAATCTTAATTAGCGCATAATACAATATACACAACGCATAATGTTGTACATACACAACATGCGATTTACCTTTATACATTATTTTTTTATTGGCTCATATAATATCACAAAGATATAAGGATTTTTAGATTATTATATTAAAGTACCATGCAAGTACCTCTTACAGCTTGTTAAGAAAGATGACGGTGTAACAAGTAAATATATACTGGAAAAAAAGAAGTTTTAAATCGTATATAAATTCCTTTGATGGGAACGACTGTATCGGTAAAATTTCTTTGACACATTCCCATACACATTCCATTGTACGTTTTTTAACAATTTTCATACAATTTAGCGCCACCTGCAGACAATTAACTGACGTATTAAGTTTCAAGGGCAGAAAGCCCAGTAATATTTTTTTTAATATAACCTTTGCAATTCTGTCCAAATTTTCCAACATATAATTGCTTTTTATCACAAAGATATACTTACAAAAACATTTTATACAATTAAGCTAAAATTAAAATCTCATTGTATCCGTTCTAACCATAGTAATGAATCAAAATACATGTTTGTTCACTTTAAATCCTTGTTCGTTGTTGAATATACTTCAATTTCATTCATATATGTTATTTTAATATTGCATGTTAAATTATAAGACTTGTATAAATATACCTAAAAACTTGATCTGAAAACAATTTGGTAAAATCCAAAATTGGGAGTTCTATGAATTAAGATTGCTTGGGTGCTCTATTTTCAGTATTTTATAATTCCTCTTTTTTATAGTTCTAGAAGTCCGTGTGGTATGTGCAAAGTTCTTATGTTTGCATTTTATAGAATGCAGTGTAGGATAGAAAATCCTAGAAATAATTTGCAGGAAAACTTGATATAATCAACATTCCAAACCTGAATAAATTATTACAATAAAATTTATAAATGACCCCAAAGGTCATCAACACAATGAGAAATCAAATATATTAGCATTTTACTAATTCTACAAAATAAATACAAAGTAATCAATTGTATATACATGCAATTTGTCTATATTCAAAGGCGAAAAGATATTTACCTCTTCATCAGCAGTTATGTTCTATCCATTAAAATTGTCAGTTATGTCAAAAGTTGGTGCTCCTAATTCAGTCAGTATTATTTTTGCAATTATCAAGGAAATGTGTTAGGGGTTCAATGAAGTTGGGGTTCTAACCCTTGCTGTTCCCGAATGGGGTTGTGGTGAAGATAATAAATAAATTTCATTTTGTAATGTCCTAGAGTCCATTTTTCGAAAATATTTCACAAAAATAATGTTTAATCCCATGGTGTCCATGTACTGTTACATGTATTTCAAAATCCATTTAACTCGCCATATTCCAGCAAGATAAACTAGTTTTTATAAAACCTAAATGATGTGATTGATTGGTGTACTCAGATTGATTGAACTTCTTTGGAAAGATGGATAAAAATGTACCTGAAATACAATGATGTGCACAACCATTGATGTCTTGAAGTCCTGAACTCAAGAAATGCAGATTAGGTCTCTTGCTCTTCATTATTGTACTTATCAAGGAAATTAGCTTTTACATGGCACATTATCTTCATTGTTAAAGTTATAATGTTACCCTTTCAAAGCATATTATTATTTGAACATCATTTACTCTTTGAAGTTATGTCAGCAATGATATTGTTCCAATGTGGTTAATAAACCTCTATTATATCATGGCTTCATCAGACGACGTAAAATCCCTTGTTCTGGCTGTATTTTGAATGGTGATTGGTTGAGACACCAGCGAGAAGTGCAACTAAATTAAAAGATGTTACCAGGAGAAAATCCACATACTGTGATAAAATGTGTTACTCATTCCATGCACATTGATCTCCAATTATAGATGCATTGTCATCTCCTAATATAAGCAATCTTCTAACTTTAGATCCACTAATAAAAGCTTTAGTTTGATACCACAACTCCAGAATTTTGATACAGATTTTCCCGAAATTTAAATTACTAGCTTGCCTTGCGATATGCTGTAATGAATTGGTTAAACAAAAAGCCAAACACAGAGTAGTTTCTACATCTCAATATGGCAAAATTAATAAGAAAAAAATATATGTAAAGAATTAGGTATAAAAATCTATAGACGAAACCTATTGTTACCTGTGCAATGGGAGAACAGTGCTGTAGGATATTGCATATTTGTCATTATTGCTTAGTAATGCAGTCGTACATCAATAAAACTCCATTCATCAATAAAAAAATTGCTAACTTTTTACAAGCAGGTTGCTCAAACTAGCCCATATTACTTTCAGCAACTTCGAACATTCCACAATCCCAAGCAATAGCAAGTACCACGATACGCATATTGTCAAGAGATGAACTATTTGGCCACCACTCATTACTTCACATTCTACATATAAGATTAGCTAGATACCTATGTGATCTGAAAGAACAAATTTTGTAGGAATGGTAGCATGCATGGGTTTAATTTAATATAGCTGAAAAATTAGCTCATACCAACCCCTTGGACTAGACAAAGATTTGCAATAGTCATCAAAATAACATACCGTTCTGTTATTTCCCATGCTTTTGTGTAAAATATACCGAACATGTATAATTTATATTGTAATACATTATCCACAGTATATAACTTAAGATATATTTCATCTTTCATACGTATTTCGATATAGTTGATAATGTCTAACACATCATAAACTAAAATTTTAGGTATTTCCTAACTGCTGCCGACATTAGGCATCAAACTAATAATTTTCCTATTTGTAATCACCAGGGATTAAATTATCGCGTCATATATACTTCCATATTGTTTTTGTATAAAATTAATTAGGAACAATAAATCAGCTTAATCTGTAAATTTAAAATAATTAGTTCCCCCCCACCCCACCGTTGTACCACACGAGTTTGAAAAGTATTCCGAAATTCAAGTCATAATTTCTTAATGTGTTAAACTCCACATTTGGTATATTGTTGCACTTACCATTGGAATATGCAACTTAGATCTATGAAGATTTTATTAATTCAGCTTATATTTTGCTTATTATATTTAGCTTTTTCATTATATTATGACTTATCTGTTTATGGAGATAGTGCATTCTTTTGCGGTGTGCAGTAGACGACCTTTCTTACGAAGGCTGCAAGTTGCTTTCATGTATAAATTAGTTCGTCACGAGTCACCGCCACCGTAACAGCTGTGAAATTTACATTTACAAATAAGTTTCTATTGCATTTCTGCAACTGTTGAGTAAATCGCGCACGAAAATTCCCTACGATACTTACCATTTAAACTACAAGCCCTTGTCCAATCCTAAACCATGGCCATTTTACCTATACCTTTATATTTGACAATATTCATTCAAATCTTAAAGTCCCGGAAATAGATCAGCCCACAGTCACATTGTTAAATATCTATTTTGTATTATTTTTAAATTTAGTTTAAGTCTAAGTAACTTCATTTCATAAATGCAATTTGCAAATAATAAAAATCAATATACTTTTCGCTTCACCTGTAAGGGTTGTGTTAAAACCGTAGTACCATTATCCCATTTCTATTTCTGCTTTTTCCTTTATTTACTATCTTCTGGGAGCCACGTTAAAGTTTCAAATAAAAAATAAACCTGTATGGATTTAATATTATTGCACAACATTTGCAATTTGTTGACATTGATACAATCAGTATAGAAAATCATTGTTAGCCTCAGCTTGCATTTGCATGAATAACAATGACTCACCGTAAGTACCGCTTCATGTTTATTTTCTTATGCCGATATCAATTCTAAACATCCGTCATACGCAAGTAAGCACACCTCGTTCAAGTAGAGACGCAGGCGTTGTTGTGCGCGTATCCAATCCCAATGCGGCCTGCTCTGGCAGCAGCGGCAGTTGTGACATCTGGGATTTAAGAAATAGCACACACGACGGCCTGCATACAGGCCTACACATTGTTAAATGATGAAACGATTGCTCAATTCCCTAGCTTTACCTATGGGCTGATAACCGGGACTGAGTGCGCGTGACCTTTAGCATGTGGCAGTTCCGAATGTCGCCACGACATCCGGCGACCTCGTTATCGGCAGCGGTAGCGGCTGTGTCTCTGCAGACAGCTCTCATAAGCTTGTAACTCGTCTGCATCGCAACTGCACGTCTTCACGAAGAGATGGCGATGACTCATGGAATAATACATGTTGGGTGAAATTACAATATGTAGAGAAAATAAAATTCAATACGACAAATTTTCATCAAATACTCTTTTATTTTCATACTTAAACATATGTTACAATTTTGTATTCAATATGAATAAAAACAAATTCCAATTTATTATTGAATTAAAAAAAATTGAAATATTTACAATTAATTAACAAATTAACTAAATATAAATGCATGATACCGTTACAAACCCATTTTGTAGCCAGCAGCGGCCACGCCCCATGCGGCAACAAGATGGCGGCCGTCGAATGCAGACCCACGCGAAACGCAATGGGACTGTAATTTAGAAAACATCCTACATATATCACAGATTCTAATACTGTACTTTACCTCTTATATCTAATTTAGGACTGGTTTGACATTATCTAGTTCCTTGAAAAAGCTATCTAAACCGCTGAGATCATTCTTCCATATATTATCGATTTTTTCTTGTTGCTGCCTCGCGACTTCCTCTTCCTTATTGCACAATCCAAGATCAGCTTGCATTTGTGCCCACTTTCTAGCACGTTCTCTTTGTTTCGTAACAAGTTCATTTTCCGCACGTAACAAGGAATTACTCAAAATGGCGATTATTCTTAGGTCACGTTTTCTCTTTGTCTTTGCATTTACTGATTTACATTTAAATTTGCGAACCCAATTAGATAGGGACTCTGTTTTACTTTCACAAAAATCAACAACAGATTTTTCTTTTACGGCGTAGCCCATTTTTATATATGAGGCTTTCTAAAATATTGTGGATGATACAATATTACACACCTGAATCCGAACAGGCGGCTGACTGCCAGCACTTCACTACACTTCACAGACAAACGCTCTTTACCACGACGAAATTGAAAATGAACGGAAATTTCCAACATGGCCGGTTTTATACCCGACGCCCTTTGCGGTCGATAACTGCGTAGTTTGCCATCAAGATGGCGGCGTACTAGTGAAACCAGTGTTGCTAGCAAGATCTACGAAACTTCCTTGCAACTGTTTTGTTAGTATTTAAATGATTTTTCGCACATAACTTCAACTGCAATTGTTTCAATGTAGTACTGTTTATTTTAACTTTATGCTTAGTTAAATGTTTAATTAAACGAAAAAATTGTTTTAGTTTCTGCAAAACTACTTTAGACTAAACTTAAACACGTAACTTAACCCGACTGACATGAAGGTTCTTTCGAATTCACGTAAGTATTTTTATGTGTGTGGATTTATTAATTTCATTGTAACCGTAGCCTAAACATATATTACATGTACTGAATTACTTTTCCATTGAATTATACATCACTGTCTTAGTCTCCGAAAGTTCCATAAAATCTCCCGAAAATTGTGATAGATGTCGAGAGTGAACACATCGAACTGATTTCGTTTAGATTCGAGAAAAGAATGGCGTTATGCATCATGAATGACGATCAATACTTAATAAAAATTGAAACTTATATAGACACAAACTAATGGCTTTTTATTCTCTTACATTTGCCATAAAATTACATTTTAGTACATTTTGCTAGTTATTCCTTGATTTAGGATTAGTAAACGGTATTTCGTTTAATTTATCATACGTTCAGTTTCACGTTTGTGCGTCAGGGGTTCCCTGGTTCTCCGTAAAATCAACGTTTGTCTATAAATTATAATTTTACTTGGTTAGATACACATATTATATTATAATATTAAACATTCAAAACAAATGCCACATGAAAGCATTATTTTGATGAGATAAATTAAGTTTTGAGCAATAAGCCACAAAACTATGAACACTTTACCTTGGGTGTTTTAACATTCAGAAAACCTTTATTCGCATTCTTTATTTTCTTTTGAAATAAATTACCGAAATGTGAATCATTCTTCATTGTATTATACTGTAGAGGACGATGAGTCGATCGTCGTTAAAAAGACCATGAAATTGAATATAATCCTTATGTCAAAGGAGTTAGAACCAAAATTCCAAGACACATTGAATATAAAAATGGCCGTGGACGCTGCGCCAGGTGACGTCACCCCTCTAGAGTCACGTTCACATGATCGATATAGCGTACAGACAAAGGGGAAAAAACCACGCGCAACGCAGCTGCGCATATTCCGCATAACGAACTTGCTTGGCTTCTTGTCCTCCATTTTAACGAAAAAATTATTTTGTTCGTTAAAATGGCGGAACGAATACAATGCAGTTATTGATATTAGCATAACCAAATTTTACAAAATTTTACTATAGAATATAATTTAAGAAAAATGAAAGAATGTTTTGGACTATTTCTAAATATCTATATATACATATATATATTAGCTACGTACCTTACCTATTAGTATTCGGTTTTGTAAAACGGCTCTAACCAAATGTTTATAATACAGTCATAATGCTTGGCAAGAGCAAATGCTAATTTAGTTGAAATTAAGACCACTGCCACGCCCTTAAAATAACCTATAATGACTTTCCTGGTATTTCCGGGAGATAAGCTGGGTATTCCTGTTTTAGAATATTCGAACGATACGTAGGTTTAAACAAAACTAAAGTGGTTTCAGTTGAAATATCATATAGTTAAAAATATTTTTCGTCTTATGTTTAAGCGGTATAAATTATACGCAATTAAATATGCACCTACGCAGAAGTTTTGCTGATAACCCACTTACGCGTGTTATTTATATAAGTCTGCCCTATCATTTCTTGTAAAATTCGTAAACAAGCTGGAAACGAACTACGTTATACATACAAATACACCTGAGTCACGGTCAAGTAAGATAATTGGCAAAACTAAAACGATGTATGAAATAAGGAATCATTTAAACAGGTTAAAATATTGACAGTTAAACCGTTATCAGAACTAGGTACCAATTTTACACAATTATAATATTTTAAAACAATAATGTTTAGACTGCCATATTATAAATATGAGATAAGTGTCCGTCGCCATCAAACTACTGCTTTTCTAGCCGCCTTGAAAATGGAGGTTATCAATTCGTTTGTTTTTATTTTTCACTAACGGTTTGCCTAGATTTAGTTTTTGCAAATTAACTAAAGTGCTGTTCAAGTAACGATTAAACGACTAAATTCTGAAGCCAAATTTTCACACGTTTTTAAAATTTCCTTATAACAAATACCATTATTGGATATTTAGAAGAATAGTAGCTACGTATAAGTCACGGGGAGATCACTATAGTAAATTAACACTATCTTCATGTATTTGTCTTTTATTTTAAGGAAAGGAGAAAGGGGAAAAATGAGTTTTTCAGTTGGTTTTGTATTTTTTTTAATAAATAGAAATCAATTTATATCATAACATTATTACTATTTTGGTTAAAAATCTATCTCAGGAACCATATAGCAAATCTAATTTTAGTTAAAAACTTTTTGGATTTCATTTGCTACGTCGTCGCGTGAGACATAATCAGTTTCTGAAACAAAACAAAATATTAAATATTTTTTTCAATAACAACAGTTATTTTTATTCTAATCAATCAAAACAAAACGTTAAAATGTTTATTTCACGGAAGTGTTTAAAATTCTACGAAGATGTAATTGCTAATGGGTTTGTCCTAATCCTTAATAATTTTAAATTAATGGGTTTTTCACTAAAGGTAATTAAAATGTGTTGTGGTGAATGTTATGAATAAATTCTAACTAAAAATGAAAACAAAGAGATTATTAACAATTAATTTAGCAACGACAAATTGTTACCTTTGTGTATTTTCAAGAAACGGACACAAAAAAAATATCGTTAAATCGATGTTGACAAAAAATTACCTTTTCATTATAGTAGAGTGAGCATTATTTAAAGATATTCCGTTCTCTGGGAATAATAAATCATATAATAGTGGGTTTCAAGATCTCCAAAGATACGTCTTTGAATTTAATTATCTTTATATATAAACTAATACTATTATAATATTACAAATTTGAAAGTTTATATAGATGAATGTTTGTTAGAAGGAATTTTTAAAATACCGCAATGGATCTCGATGCGTTATGGTATAGATGTAGATAGTCTGGAAGAACTCATAGGTTAAATACTAATTAAGTTTTTAATTCTGTTTCTAGTTTATGGAGATGTTTCACAACTCGCTTATTCAGATCCGACTGCAATAATATGCCATGAGAAAATTTAATTTTAATGTGTATTGTCGTAGTTAATTTTGATGGTATAGTTATAGTTAAGTTAGTCATCACTATACATCCTCACTGAGGGGTTCAAAGCCTATCCTAAGTGAGGGGTTGAATTCCCACATATTTTTGAAACTCTTCTCAGATATATGCAGGTTGCATCACGATGATTTCCGTACACAGTAAGAATATCAGATAAATGTACATATGTATTGCAGATTACAAGTCAAGTGTTTAACTCCAGAGCCACCAACACTCTTAGTTATTCTAGTACTTTGAGATATTATTAGTAAGAATCCTTTGGCGCGAATGGCACGCTTTCGTTACCAAGTCAATTGTCAGATTGATTAGTGAGGGGACTCAAACATTGATATTTTAATAAAGCTAGTGTTGCGCCGATACACCGGCGCAGTGTCGGATTTCCTTCCTAACTGTGCTTACTTTGATGGGATGAAATGCGTTGGTGAGCTGCAGTCCGAGACTTCTGACCAGCACGAGAGGTGCGACGTCCAAGCTGTACAGTCTGTAGAGCGCGTCTATAGCCATCTGTGTAGGCACGTTGTGACGCTGCCGGACACTCTCGTAGCTTTGTAACCAGCTGTGGTGCGCTGTTATCAACAAATCTTATTAATAAATGCGAATGTTTGAATTTATGGATGGATGTTAGAAGGTATCTGAAGATCTCTGCATGCTGCTGCTTGGATCTCACTGAAATTTGGCATAAACGTAAAACATGAATGGAAGGACACATAGGCCAGTTAAGTGATATTTCTGCTGTGAAAACTCAGGGTAAATGGTAGCGATACATACAAATATCTAAGCCGGTGTACAAGGCGTCTGCTAACAAATCTGTCAGGTCTTTGACGTCGCCGAAGCCAAGGTTGACACCCTGACCTGCCAGAGGGTGAACGCGATGCGCCGCGTCACTGCAAACATAACGACAAACATGTAAAAATTTATTCATTCAATTCAGCAATAAAAGTGTAGAATTTGCTGACCAAGTAAGAATTTACATATAGACTAGCGGACCCGACAGACGTTGTCTAGTCTACACGTCTTTAATTTGAAACTGACTGAAAAAATTTGACACTGCGTTGGTAGCGCCGTCTGTCGGATCCAATGTAAAACATTCCAAAATCAACAACTAATAATAAATTAAAAATTAATAAAAAAAAACATTGTCCAGCGGACAAAATTGTGACTCTAAACCATTCCCAGATCCCCTTGAACACACACAAAAAATTTCATCAAAATCGGTCCAGTCGTTTGAGAGAAGTTCAGTGACATACACACTCACAGAAGAATTATATATATAAAGATTTAAAAGAATTCGAATATCTATATGTAATATCTAAAAAAATTGCTTTTGTTACGGGTAATCCAAATTCAATGCCAAAATTAAAGATAGCTGATACATGGAGTAATTTAGAATGCATTGTTTTTTAATCTAAGCTAACGAAGTCGCGTAATGACTAGTTAAAATGTACTTTATATGTTTGATCATTGTCAATTGTACTCAGGTAAACAAAGGACTAATAGAAGATTTTTTATGAGATCACATATAAAAGCAAATATTTTTATTATAAACGGTATTGTCTGTATGTTTGTGCTCTTCGCATTTCTAAACTAATTATCATACGATAATTAATCTTTAATATTAAATACGGATAATTTGAATGCAAAGTGTTACTATAGGAACAAAACTTTAGGGTCTGGATTAACTGCGAGATCATGGTTTCTGATATCTGGATTCTCCTTCTCATATCATACTAACCCTACTAGTACAACACCAGGCGCGATGTACTTGGTGCTATGCCCGAATGCGAAGGGGAATGCGGCGCGGGAGGCGGGTACAATAGCACGCACTGAGGGCGGGAGCTGCCGCTCCGCACCGTCGGGCAAGCCAGCACGTCGCAGCATCCCGCCCACCCACATTGTGCACGCGTCCACAGTACTGCGACGCGGGTACTGCTTCCACTGCAAAATCGTTTTATAAATAAAGAGGGAAACCATCGGACGTTAACATATGGCTCCATCCTTTCATAGTTGAACATGGTTCGAACAAAGCGATTTGAGTCATCGTTCCTCATGCACACAGCAAAAGACTGGAATAAGTTGCCAGCGTCAGTGTTTCCGTCTAGCTATAACGTGGGTACCTTCAAGCTTAGGGTATTTACTAAGCTAGTGCGTACCATCTTTCGATCAAATAGCCACTTACTCTCAAGTGGGTTTTTGGTTTATATAAAAAAAATGTAAAAGAAAAAAGGAATAATGCCTCAGATGTTCTTTGACTATTCAACATGTATCAAAAAAATCAAACTGTAATTTAAGTCTTGTTGGAATTAGGTTAAAAGTGTAGTTGACAACCTAACCTAATAACAGTACATAGGATTCTGGTAGGTAGTATTAAATTTACATCGTAAACCGTAAGACTTTTATATAACACGCAAATGACCAAATAAGTCGTTTTTAATAACACTCTTACCATAGCGTCGTTGAGAGCATCAACGAACTGTTCGTCGGGCAGTTTGACGAGCTCTTTGGCATGCGCATGCGTCGTGGACCACACCAACGAGCTGCGCTTCGAGTCAAGCGGTAGGAACGCCACAGGTCCTGTCGGTAGAAATCGTTGCCAAGCTGTTGTGTTTTCTGTTTCCTGAAATTTGGGAACATATTTTGTAGATACATTATATTTTTAAAAGTGTTAAGGAGAAGTTAACAGTTAATTTTTATTGAGGGAAGAATTGGAAACATGACTTAAACAATCTCTGAAATACATAACTAAAGGCAGAACAATGTCAATTACAGTTGCGTACTACAAGATGAGTATGGTATAATAGAGAAGTAATGTTTGGTATGATTCGATAGTTATACCTCGGCCAAATGTAAGGTAGCCACGATCCCCATCTGGTCATAGTTCCACGACAGGTACTGCACGCCCATCGCTTTGCGAACCGCTGAATTTGCACCGTCCGCACCTATCTGAAACGTAAAACAATAACAATGATAACATTGTAAGAATTTTTACCAAAATATAATCTGGGTGCGAGGAAGTCCTAACTGTTTGCAGATTGAGGTTTTTATAGCAAACTATAAACACATGATGTTTAGAAAGATCCCATTATTTCATATTTCTATGCGTCGCATTCTTTGCCAAAAGATCGTCGGTATATTGGATCGTTGCCCTATTTCCAGGAGTTGATAAGTATAAATATTGCTGATTAGCGTTATATCGCGGAAAGTAAATTTCAATTTGCTAGAATCTTTTTTAAGATACCTAACATTGGTACAACAGAGTACAAAAGAAAGTCAAAGTAAAGTAAACACAATGCGGTCGGTGTATTTCCCAGAAAATGTTAGGATTATGCACTTATACCTTTTAAAAACGCGCTGGCAACTAATAATAAGAGTACGAACAATACAATCTCAGGTAAAGAGATACGAAGCCGAGTTATGTTTTGAAATTCTTCTAACGGTTTGAATAGACAATGATTCGTATGCGTAAATAAAAAATCTGTTAATACTATTTCAATAATATTGTTTTTTTTTTTACTAGAATCTGTTGTCTAGAGTAATACAAAGCCTAAAATTAGTCTTTAATCACAAATTTTATGGAAGATATTTAGTTTCTACGAATCTTTTAAGGTGCAATGTATCATAAATTAAGTATTGGGTTCGATTTCTATTTGGGCTAAAAAAAAATTATACACTAGTTTTATTTATAGTCTGATTCATATCCAGTTATTATCGTACTTAGATTCGTATCGTACAAGAAATGCAATTGCTAGTATGTGTTTGTTACAAAGAATTAGGGCTATTCTATTTATACGTTAATTCAATCGCTTGCAGAACAAAATGCTCCGGATAAACCACGCCTCCTTATGATATGGTTTACCTAAAATCAGATTCGTATATTTACGTGTACTTGCAATGTATTTGTATATATTCGTAGCGGCCGGCCGAGGCGATATTTTGCAGTGGTTAAGTGCTTCCCGACAATGTTGCTTGCTTGACCGTTGCCCGCGCTTTGGTACCGTGAAACAGTGATTTTTGGAATTACCAAAACTAATTGTTTAATATTTTTGTTCAATTTAACTATACTAAGGGTCAGTGTTTGTGCGAGACAAGTGAAAAATTTCAAATTTGCAATTTACTCATAATAATGTACTCAGATTTGGTGTTTACAGTTTTTTAAACGTTTAAAACGACTCCACTAAGGCTAGTTGCTTTATTACAAGGAAATGAACTTTTTCTATCGAATATAATATGTTTAATTGTTCTATTATAGTCAATATTATTGGGTTTGAATATGATGGCTTCTTTTTAGTTTTTTAGAGTTGTCAACGCTGAGCCAAATTACATTAATCTTGGTGATTGAAATAAATGCAATGAACTCAAAATTCCATTAATTTCCGTCCATTTAATAATTACCTTTTCAAAAGTCACAACGTTTTGTGATATTACTTTTTCATTTATCTAGTAGATACAGTGAAGTCTAGAATCTAGATTATGACGTGGAAATATTACCTGGAGTTTAAAATAGATAGTTGAAAACGAAAAGGTGTTTTATAATAGACGTTTCATTGGAATTCTCTACTGTTTTGTTATTATAAAGATTCCTTTGGTAGATCGCGTCCGGACTATTCCTGTACTGTATGATTGCTAAATAAATTCATTTATGAAATTAGGTTAAATTATGTAAACTTATAAATTTAATCTCGAGCGATTTATAATCATAAGACCTTGATGAAAGTAATATTTAAATGGGTTGAGGTGTGAATAAAAAATATTAATCTTCACTCTTATAATAAAAAAGCAGAAGTTAGGTATTTTGTGAAGTTAGTTAATTTTCTAAGTTAAAATTCTTGGCTTAAATAAAATAGAATTACTTATTGACACTATTAAAATTGTGAAATGGTTACTAAGGGAGCTTTAAGTGTAGATTGAGGGTAGATGAACTGCAATACTTTGCTGCTATAACCTTCAAACAACTGCAGTAGTTAATTACTAAAAGAATATTTTCCTTGTCTTTGGTCACCTCTCAGGGTGATTAAGAAAACACAGGACAAAAATATCGAAGCAATGAGTTATTTGTTATTTTGGTAATTTCCATTGAAATTCTCCTCTGTTTGGATAACGTCAACTAAATATGACATCTTAATGTATATTGCGAAAGGATTGGAGCATGTTTGTTTTCTCGCGTTATTTATTTCTTTAATCTCGTCAGTGACTCAGTGGTTTGTGAAATTTTCATATCTGTGAAATAGATCAATGGTGGAAAGAATAAAGTGCAAGTTATGTTGTGCGACCCGGGTGTCGACGCTTCACAGGTAAGGACGCACTAAAAACCTTTAAACAGTTTATTTATAACATAAAGAGGCAAACGATCGAGCGGTCATCTGAAATCTTGAATGAATGAAAATAGCGAAACGACCGTTGCCCAAAGACACCCGCGGTTGCAAAACCGCTGCCTACCTTTAATCGACGGAGGAGGGGATCCACAGGAAAATAATATTTATCCTTCCCATGCAACCGTTCATCCGGAAAATCCACTTCCTATCCTTTACATATACGAAAAAGGGTGAAAAGGGAAAGAGCACAAAAATTAGGCCTCCGCTACCACACTCAATAGACGAAACGCAGAAATTCTTCCACGTCTGTCTTCTGTGTGTTTTTGGTATTGCACCGGCTTAACCAATTCCTGCGACGATGTTAAAGCGGGCTCTATCACTGTTAAAAAAGTGTGTTAGGTGGTAAAAGCAATTATAAATGGCAGATACGGTGCTCAACTGGTGTAATATCACGACCACATAGAAGATAGGCGGGAAGTGGAAGTGGAAGACGCCTTTATTCTTATGAATGTGGTAATTTGATGAGCTCTCGGAAATCTTTACAAACATTTCGATAATGTAGATGAACAATCAAAGAAATTCTGATTAACACCACGCTTTTATATTTTCTTGAAAACGAATTAACGTCGATTTAGATTGTTCAGATGAAACCTTGAAATTCCGAAATGATTGAAGTAAAAATAAACAATATAATTTTGTCGCATTATTACATTTTCCTTTTCAGAATTAACAAAGTTAAGCTAAGATAACACTGAGCATAAATTTTTAATTTCTCTAACACATTCTAGTATTGGTCTATTATATTCGGAGACAAATTTTAGTTATTCGAAGTACACAAGAAGTTCTATTTTCACGACAATAACTAGAGTGTGGCGTGCTATGTGACGACATTGGCACTAGGAGCAAGCCAGATGCTCCTACTTTGTTAATAATGTTTGCTTTCTAATTGTTAGGCTATTCAGTCCTAGACTGCATCATTTTTAATTTTACAATTTTTATTAAACTGAATTTATTTAATCGATGTTAAAAAGTAGTAAATAGGCAAGATAGGATAGAAAACAGGTCTTTATCGCTCTGAATGATATTGATATTAAAGAATTGCAATACCAAAACTACTACAGGCAACCTAAAATAGATTTCCATTAATCTACTATTTTATTCTTTGTTCAAATTAATGGCACATTTCTTGTGTATAGTGCGAAAATATATAAATATATATATATATATATATATATATATATATTTTCGCACTATACACAAGAAATGTGCCATTAATTTGAACAAAGATTAAAATAGTAGATTAATGGAAATCTATTTTAGGTTGCCTGTAGTAGTTTTGGTATTGCAATTCTTTACTCTAGCATATTTTGCAGCATTGTTTTGTAACAAGTCTAGCACCGCTAGCCGTGGGATAAACAAATTGCTGCGAAGGCAAAACAGTAATTTGCCTGTATTGAAATTTGGAGCAACAGAGCACGAAATTACACTGATTATGTTTACAAGACTACAGTGTACCAAATATTTACGTTACAGTTTTGGTCTAACTAAAACAATCAGTTATATGGTGTAGCGTCTAATAAAGATCTATACTTATAGCATTTATTGAAGTGGAGAATAATATAAAACGAAACAGTGCGCGTGCGCATATGTATGCAGGCTTGTAAAAGTTTGTAATAAGTAAAATGAACCTATGAATGATACTGTATTCATATATTCTCCAAATTATTATCCTTTTTCCCTATTTATCTGATTGGTAGTGAAATTTAATTGTTAGAAAAACGAGCATTCGTTATTTAATCACGACAAATATAGGTCAAAGAAAATTCTCAATGTTAGGCAAAGAATAACGTCAATTCGCACTGCCGATATATGCACAAAATAACATATTATGTGTATGTTTCGAGTCATGAGAATTGACTGTAAAGGTATATAAAGAAACATTACGAGTAAAGCTGCGTTATGCTACGAGTTTTCGATGATGTAGTGCGTGGGAGTTTTGACGCCGAAGTTTTCAATGCGGTGACATTTCCAGATTAAATGGAATAGATAAATAATAAAGACGTATATCGCGTCTTTATAACGTAAGAGATGACGAAAAAAAAGTTTAATTTGAAATTGCCGATGTGAGAGGCGCCTGCGCAGAAATATTCAGTCTAGTGTAGCGTGTAGGCGATCTTTATCAACTAGTCTTCATAATACACGTGATGCCGTCGAAAATTATAAAAAAGAACAGCAAAAGAAAAAAGGTTTAGGTTTTGTTTTTGATTAACTGTGTGTGTAAATGTGAGATTGAGTTTTGTGTGATAGAAAAATATGTATTTAAGATGTGTGTGTAATAGTTTTGTGAATTTTTCATTAATTTGTTATTGTTCTTTATAAAATAAGAAGAAGGATTTGTGTGATCTAAATATTTGTTTTAATCTTTATAACTTTACTCGTGTAATGCGAAATTAATAATTTAATTAAATTTTAAGACAATTCAGTTGGAGTGAATGGTAAAAAGAATAGCAGTTAAAAGAATACAAGAAGTAAAAGTTATTTCCGTATGTAACTGCTCAACTGACAAGTTAGTGGCATTACTAATTGATTATTGGAATAATACAAACATTACGCATTTTATATAAAAACAGATTATACGTAACCTTGATCCAATTATCAAATGTTTTTATTTTTATTCTTAAAAATCTATTAACGCTAAAGTATAGAGAAATAAAGAATGAGTACGTCATCGCTTTGCAATAAAGATATCTAAATATCCTGCGGAAAATCTAGAAATGTTAGTCAGACTTTTTCCTTGTATCCTTATATAAAAACACGATACGATCACGGCAGTTTTAGAATTTTATGTCTTAATGAAAATTGATTGCAACATCTCCCTTTTGGATTGATCTTTGTCTTTGTCTAATATTGTTTTCGACCTGCTTTCGAGATTAGAGGGTACAATCAGTGGGGCTTCTTAGTTTTTTTTTAATCAATTTGTAGTATAACATAGTAATATTTTGCAGTTATACCGCGAGGGAAGCGTGCGATGGCGCGGCGGCATGAGCGAGGTGGCCGAGGACTCGGACGACGGCGATCAGGCCTACATCTCCAGCGACGAATCAGTGCACGGAGTCGAACCAGTGGAGACATTTCGCGTCAAACCATCCAGGGATATATGGGAATTAGGTAACGACTATTTGAAATCAAAGCAAAATTGAATCAACAGCTTTAGAACAATTAAGAAAGACTGTAAATTACAAAATGTTTACTTTCAGAGGATATACTGAACGTGTTACGGCAACTGCCGAATACTGAGGAGTTGCTTACAATACTAGAGTCGGGGAACTATGACGATGTGATCAACTTTATAATGGAAACAAATCCAAAAGTCAGTATGAAGACAGCGATGCTTTGGGCATCTTGGCTTGGTAGAAGTTCGCTGCTGACGAGGCTACTAAAGCTAGGAGCAGACCCTAACAGCGCAGATGGTTCTGGAAGGTAAACTAAGTTTAATTAAATTATGGTATCACGAGGCGATAAAACACAAAAAGACATAAGTTCAACGATGAAGAAAGTGCGAATATGCCTGAATATTGTAAAATCGGTTATTGTTGTTGAAATTTTTACCAGAATAAGATATCTAACAGACAATGTTTGATTTCAGAACATGTTTACATTTGAGTTGTTTGGTGGCGAATGAAGAATGTGTTAAATTGTTACTGGACCACGGAGCCGACCCAAATAAATGGGATTCTCTGTGTGATAAAAAGGCGACACCGCTGCACTGTGCTGCAAGCGCTAAATGTTTGAAATGTGTCAAAGTGAGCAATGCATACTTTTAAAATTTGTACACGGATAACAAGGCGCGGTTTCAAGGAAATCCGTTTTCTGTTTAAATTCTTGATCAAAGTTATGTCTGTTTTGTCTCTAATATTCAGAATGTTATAGGTATTAATAAGTCACGGTGCAGATGTGAACGCGGGACTAAGCGATCGTTCTCCGTTGCATTACGCGGTAATGAGCGACGCGCCTGAGGTTGTTGGCGCACTTCTTGAAGCAGGCGCATGTCCTGACACTCCCCAGGTGCGTTTCACTTTACGATGACGTAAACTCTAAATTGATCGATAAACACGTGAGGAAAGGTTTCGTGGAATCAACGCCGGATACAGTTATGAATGAGGTGTACTGTTTTATGTGTGGCGTTCATGTACAAATTGTTTTTGTTTCCAACTTCGCTCATCATAAGAAATAAAAAATATGTCACCAAGTTAACGCTATACTCCTACAACCTTAGCCCCAAAAACAAGCTTTAGAGTGCTGACACATTGGTTATAGAACCAATCATCATACACCGCTTGCCACGTTTCTTTTCACACATTATAAAGTAAACTACAAGGCGATACAGCTAAAATGACGTAAATCATAACATTTTAGGTGTTCACGGAGACTCCTCTCCACGTGGCGGCGTCTTTAGGTTCGGATTCGTGTATGAAGCTACTTTTAGACGCGGGTGCTGACGTGAGGGCGGCACTGGGGCCCGGCAGGACGACTGCTCTACACCTGGCGGCCGTGGATGGACATGCGGAATGCGCGAGACTGCTGTTAGACCACGGGGCGTACATAGACTGTCCCAACTCCAGAGGGCAGACATCTTTGCACCTTGGTAATAACCTTTATGATAATAGATAAATTTGAGCTTCGGACACCGAAGATAAATGTCACTAAGGAATTCAGAATGAAGGTGTCATTAAAGTGGTCGTTGATATCTTTTTTGATTGGATATAACATGGCCTTAGTTTTAATTTCAAACCATAAAACAATGTATTTTAATAATCGTCATGTTTTACAGCTGCATTAGCACAATCAATTGAGGTGGTGGAACTGCTGGTTGGCAGACGAGCTGACGTGAAGGCGAGGGACATAGATGGTCGTACACCATTACATGGGTCGATCGTGCGAGGCGCACGCGCTTGTGATGTGGCACGTCTCCTTCTCTCCGTGGGGGCGGATCCCAACGCACCGGATAATTTTGGATACACCCCCCTACATATTGCTGCGTTGAACGAGTTCTCAGCATGTGTTTTGTTATTATTAGGTAAGAAATTCTATATTTTTAAAACACACTTAAATTAAGTTGAATATGGATGTTTGAGATTAAGATTTAAATATAAAATGTTCATATCAATGATTCCAAAAACTACGTTAGTTTGCTACAAGATTCACTTCTAAATTTATGTTTGCTTTAACGTAACAATACATTACAATTTCATAACATATATATTGAATCGGTTGCACATTAAATGGAATATTAAGCGTTTCAGGGAGTTTCATATGTTTCATGTTCATATTTGAAGCATTTGATGGTAACAACATGGCGAACACTGCTTTACTTTGTTTAGACTAACTCATTTCACAATTATCGATTTCAGCGTAGCTGGCAACTGTGTTTATTGATATTAGATCTTAAATCGCTCATTTAATAACATCACATGCAAGTGCGCGGTTTGTTCCTAATAGAGGAACATTACTTGATCCCAAAATAAGCGTTCGTCATTTCAATTTAGAACTAGGCATTTTATCGCAAATTAGCTCGTAATGTTTCATACTTGCCTTCGTATCAACTTTGAAGACTATCTGATGGGTTTTCTTCTTCAGATAGGAATAAATTCAGTCTTGTATATTATTAATTAAAATAAACTATTCTTTGATCTTAGATTACGGTGGCGACGTGACATTACGTACAAACGGCGGTGTGTCAGCGTTATCGTTCATAGTACGTAGGGTACCTGACGTGGTGCCAAGATATCTGAGGAAGTTTGATGACGCGGTACATGTCAGCGAGCATGAGCTGGGCGATGTTGACTGTGAATTTACTATTGACTTCAGGCCACTAGTGCCGTGTTTATCACGAGGGGAGGCTGAACTGCTACTGGCTTTTATAGAGGCAAGTAGCTTTCATTTGTTTATTAGCATATTATCCAAAAATAATTGTCTCTGGGTACGCTAAAGAAAGTTAAATGGAGTGCTACCGCAGAGAAGAGCTCAGATCGAGCGAGTAACACGTCTCACGTCTAAACCAAAAACGCTTTACGTTAAAACGATAATTAAAAACAAAACAATCTTTTGGTATCTATTTATAGTTAAAATTTGATGTTATTTTCAGGTCGGTCATAAAGACGTTCTCAAACACCCGGTCGCGGAGACATTCTTGTTTTTAAAATGGCGACGAATAAGAAAATTCTTCGTGTTGAGTTTCGTGTACCACGCGCTGTTTATAACTCTCTACAGCGTCTACATATTACGTGAGTAATCTCTGTTAAAGTCGGAACATACTGTGGCTATTGTGAATTCACGAAAATAGAAGTCGACGAAACAGAAAATAAACCAAACAAATCATGCTAATTTGCTTCGGCGGCTGGCATATTAAACGGGATGTTTAATTCATATTTCAGAAAATATTTATATATTAAAAATAGCAAGACGTAATCCTATAATTAGTAACGGTTTTAGCTCTGCTAGCGCCCTGGACGAGATTCCTCCGATGTCTACTTTTTTACCAAATCTGTGGCGCGGGGGGATTTCCAGAGTTATGTGAGACTGTAATTTATATGCATGTGGAGCCCCTTTCTGACCACCGCCCTGGATCACGTAACTTCGGCTGACTCTAAAACCGCCACTGCTTAAATTAATAAGCAAGGAAAACGTAGAAAGATTAGAGAGACAACTGATGTTGACTACAAACAACAATAGACTGTGAATTTAATTTTTTTTTTCAATAAAATTATTTCTCTTACAAATATTTGGTATTAAAATTGTTTTTTCAGAAATATTTTTGTGCGAAGACGTGACCTGTGCCGTGCCCTCGTATCTGCGGCCGGTGCAATATCTGATCCTACTTCTAAATCTATGTTTCATGTGTAAAGAACTGTTCCAAGCTTGTCTTGATTATTCCGCGTACATTCGACAATGGGAGAATTGGTTACAAATATTAATTATTATAGGAGTATTTCTATGTACGGTGAGTCAAACGAATTTGTAAACTCTTAGGTATAAAGCTAATTGCGAAAGATTACTAATAAATGTTTCTTAAAGCGAGAATCATAATGTAAGCGTACTTGAACTTAACAACTTTAGTAAAAGTGCATTCACAAAATTAAAAAAATTTGAGATTCAAATCATATTGTCGATGAAAACTTGTGTAGTTTGTTACTGGGATGAACTTTTTTAAGGTTTAGTCTATCGTTTTTTAATATTTTAGGTGCCGACTTGGTACATGGAGGATGGGGTGGCGAAGAGCACATCTAATTGGCAGCACGACGTAGCGGCCATAACTATATTCTTCTGTTGGCTTGAGCTAATGATGATCATCGGCCGTTTCCCTACATTCGGATTATACGTGCAAATGTTTACTACAGGTAATAATTTAAAATGTGTCGCTAAAAAAAACAAAATAAATCTCCGAGTAAAAAATATTAAAAGTGATATAATATCCATTATCTTTTCTTTTCAGTGACGGTAAATTTCGCGACATTTCTTCTCGCCTACAGTTGCCTATTAATAGCATTCGGTCTGGCATTCAGCGTGCTCTTTAGCAACTACCCTGCCTTTCATCTACCAGCAGGTCTGGTGAAGACCGTCATGATGATGTCAGGAGAACTGGAGTATGAGGATATATTCTACAACGGCAACGGCACCGATTTCGAAATACATTATCCGTTCACTGCTCATGGAATGTTCTTGATATTTGTTGTACTAGTCACTGTTATATTGACGAATTTGCTTGTTGGTTTGGCTGTCAGTGACATACAGGTAATGTTTTTCTCTTTATACTTATGGCTTTTAATCCTACCAGTTATAAATAAGAATTTATTACCCACAGCATTATACAAGGAGTATTTTTTCGGCCATATTTATTATATCTAAAATGCTCTATAAATAAAGTTCAAAACACCAATGACTTCGGGTAGATAATCCTAGATTTATGGATCTTTAATCATTGATCGGTGCTTAAACTAATAGTCTTAAAGTGTTTTTATAATTTTCATGTACTAAAATCTATGTTTTCTTATCAGGCATTACAAGAAAGCGCCGGTCTGGATAGATTAGTGCGTCAGACTCAATTAGTAGCACATCTGGAGAGTATGCTGTTCAGTCCTTTGCTGACGTGCGCGCCAAAACAATTGCTGGCTGTTTTGCGATGGGGGGCGCTGCTAACTGCAACCCACTTACGGACACTCAACATACGACCCAATGACCCTAGAGAAAACAGGGTAACGTACTTGCTAACAATACTCTTTTTGACAATAATCAATCAGTAATAGCTAAATTAGATTTGCGTTCTGACTGCTGAAACATTTAAATACATTTACTTGAGATGACACGCCGCAAAGAAAACTAGTTAAAATCGATTTCGTGTAATGATTCGGTGTAAAGATAACTAAATAACTTTGGATTAATTTCAATATACAATATTCTTTACGTAGAAAACATTATGGTTTAGGTATAAAGTAGGCTGATTTTACATGAGTAGGATAAGTTCAGGGAGGTGATAGAATTTTTTATCTTTTTAGAATCACAGAACACTGCAATTAGATATCCTTTGATTTGATGCCTGAGATTAATATATTTTCATTTTTTATACAGATACCAAAGGAGCTAATATCATCGATTTATAAAATGGTAGCCAGTCGTCACAGTACTAAAAAGAGTATAAGGAGAAATAATAACTACGAATGTCGTATACGTAGATGTAAAGAAGACGAAGACGTAGAAAGACAAGTGGTGAAAAGAAAGAGTAATTTATTCGACCAGTTTTCGTTAGAGAATCAACAAGTTGAACGAAGGAAGAAGACTTCTACAACCGTGGAAAGAAACAGACCAATGTCATTCACAATTAATGCAATACAAGAAATATGTATGGTTGATATTAAAACTCAACTTGCCGATTTAACAAAGAAAATTAATAAGTTAGTCGAAAGTACAGAATCACGTTTAGCAGCTATAGAAAATAAATTGGATAACAGATAAAGTTTTACAGTTGCCCAAACATATGCATTTGCAGATGCATTGCCTACTTACATAGTCATGTACTTTACTTTAATCGACAAAGGAGGGGATGCACATATAATTGATAGTTAATTTTTCTGTGCCAACCCTCCTAAGCCAAAACCATCTCCGTACCCTTCTTTCTTTGTAAGAAAAGTATAGGAAGGGTATCATAAAAATTTGGCAACCAGAATGCATCACATAAAATGCGGAATTTCTGCCAGTTCATGCCTGTCTTCTATGTAAACACTGGTTGAGCTATGGATTCATGTAATAGATGTTATTGCGAGCTCTACCACAGTTAGATTATTTATAACCATGTTGTGTATTAGATATATAATTTGATAATAATATTGTAAATATATTGTAGTACAATTAACTGTTAAAATATATACAGTTTATATACATCTATGTTATTTATTTTATTAGCACATTAAATACTATCCAATTCTCAATAATACCTTCCCACAATCCCAAAGAATCACAGTGTCACTTTTATTTTACTAATTTTTTATAGGTATGACTCAAATATATATATATTTTTTTTATAGGAGAAAGGGGCAAACGAGCGATGAATCGCCTAATATTATTTGAAATAAGAACATTATTTAAAGCTGTAACATGTTAATTTATATTTATTTAAAGCTGTAGCTTGCATGTCTACAGTTGAGAATGTAACTCTACTACCAATTTTATTTCATTATGATTAAATATTATTTAACAATGACAAAACAATTTTGGTTGAAAATTTGTCATAGAAACTTTTTTTTATATTATATAAGCTTGCATTTGATCACAATCCTACTTGATGTTAAGTAATAAATATGTGCCAAAATATATATTATATGGTGATAGTTTGCTATTTATTATATGATGAATTCAATTATTTTACTTACCAATAACTGGCACTTGTAGATATCTCCATTACTCATTTTAACAATACTTTCTGAATTTTCACTTTGTGGTAATTCATAACCAGCAATTTTTGCTCCATATACAATTTCCACATTCTTAACAGCTGAGCTCTTCAATTCCTTGTCAATTGCGTTCAGCAAAACATCATTTTCAACTATGTAGGCCACATCATCATCAAGTACGTCAGAACTGCTGAATGATATTAATGCATCTGAACATGCATCCCAAACCTGGAATATAGAACAAAATGGGGTTTTATTGTAATATAAAGTGTTTTAAGTTAACAAATTACAACTATTTAACTATGTCTCAATGGATATGACAACTGAGCAGTCTTTGTGCTATTTTAGACTGTTATCTATATCTGTTTTAAATTTCATCCAGATTCATTACACCATTTTTGAGGAATATGATAACAAACATCCATACACCCATTAAATTTTTCCAACCCAAGGTTTCTTTATAACCAATTAAATATAACACTTATGATTATGAAGAGGTACACTTACATTAGGATTACATTCTAGGTTACAAATGATAAAATAAATTTAGTACCTGCATGTATCGGACTGGTTGAAGTCGCATTTTTTCTACATGCTCCCAAACTTGCAGTGACTTCATTAAAGATTTTGTATTTTGATTCAATGCTACCACTCTATTACTGTACTCTTGTTTCAGTTCAAATTTTTGACTAGGACTACCCTCAAGTAATAATACTTTCAAGTTTGAAAGTAAAGCCTTCTTACCTATAAAATATTAGCCCATATTACTATCGGAAATGGCATAAAAGGTTTAATATTAAGTTGATATTTATACAAACCCATTGCACATGCTAAAGTACATCCAACCATGCCACCGCCAGCAATTATAACATCGTAGCTTCCTTTTATGTTTGCATTTTGCGATGAACTAAATTTTCGTAAGGAAATAATGGATCTTATATTCCTTTTTAACATAGTGGTTGGATAAAACCAACAATTAACAAACGCTTTGCTGTTTCGCAACATTTTTATGATAATTTGTGTATTTTTTGGTAATGTTAGCTTGAAATATGTTTACATACTTCTTATACGTTTATTTTTTCACGGTGTAAATTGCTTAAAGATATGAATTTAATTTAATATTGTTTTTATTTTATATATTTTTTTATTTGTAATTGTCAAATAAGTAACATTCGCAAATTGACAATCATTTCTTGTTATTTGTCAATGTCACTCATTTTGTCATTTCAATGTTACCATGTGAGCTTTCACTTTTTTTGTTTTAGTATTTAAAAGTTTGGTTAAAAATAATAAATTATTTATCAAAAAAAACCTTTGTAAAACATCTACCTCCTATTGAAGTGCCACGCAACATCTTTTTAATAAATTTTATGTACAACACTCTATTTTCTTGGCAATGAAGTAACCGTGGAAACCAATGACCAACATAAATGTTCAAAAGCAGTTAAGTATTATGTGTTAAATAATCTTCATATATTAGAATGTTACTATTTAGTCATGAGTAGTGTTTTTACGAATTCGTGCGTTAAAGTTCCAATAGATCCTATTAGTAAAATGCCTAAAACAGCTTACGAGAGAATAAACAAGACTTTAGTAGAACAGCAGTCTATTGATTCATCAACCTGCGTCACACCTTCCCCCGCGGATGTTTATACTGAAAATGTGAAGGATTTTTATCGAAGTATACCTGACTACAATGATATTAATCATTTACCATCATCAGAGTTTTATTCAACTTTAAAAAAATTAAGAGAAAAGAAGAGGGCTGTTTTAGGGCTCCCTGCAGAGTATACCAAAGAACACTTTTATAAAAACGAAAATCATTCACTGTATAATAAACAACCTAGTGGTTGTTCTAACGATGGTGATGATGATAAATGTAACAAGGTTAAAAATACCAAACCTAATAATATTGCAAGAAGAAAAAAGTCAGTAGAGAAAAAAGATATCGAACACTTAAATTTACACTTAGCAAACAAGACAGGAAATATTGTAAATGACAAGATTCCTGGAAGCTGTTTAAAAGTGAATCAAACTAAGAGTCAAGATTTAAACAATAAAGATTGTTGGAAAAGTAAATCGAGGAACCATTCTGCGTGTTCCATTTCTTGGCATGACGACAAGGTTGGACGTGATAAATGTGAAATAGACAAAAAGTTTGCAAAGTTTTTTCAATTAAAAGATATAGATAGTTGCAACAGAGATGAGTTTAGAACTCAAAGTATGCCCTCAAGTCCCCTACGAAGTAAATCTTTTAGATCCTCAAGTCGCAACAGAAAAACGTTAACTATACCAAAGCCTTTTAAAATGACGCTTAGGTATTAAATTATTTCTTTTTATTTAAAAAAATAACGTAGCTCCTCTTAATCGTAATGGAAGGAATTTTTACAGGGACGATGATGAACGCATTGTCAACGGACTTCGTACAATACAGAAGTCTTTTTCAGATGATATGTTAAACCAAAAACGAGAAAGGAAGCATTTCAGGGCGAGGCCGGTACCTATAGAATCGCGGATTCCACTCTACGACAAGATTCTCGAAGTCCAGGCTATGAGGTTTTCAAAGAAAACAAACATTGTATGCTTCTTTTGTTTGTTTCTACAAGTGTATATGTTTTCATTATTTGCAGTAGTAGTAAAGTAGATTCAACTATTTTGCACTAGAATGCTATTTTGTATTAGTTGCATTATCTGCTCCATAATTTATATTACATAGGTAAATTACAACTCGTGCACGATAACATGATAGGACTTAAATGGTAGTGCTGTGTGTAAACAATCTATGTATAAATATATTTTTTTTTAATAAAATGAATGTCTACAAAATAGATTCAATTATATATTATTCAATTAATCAAATTCTGATAATTACGATGGAAATTTGTATAATACAAATTACCATCGTAATTATCAGTATTGTTACATGTATTATTACGATACTTGATTAAAACGCTATCTCAATTGGTTATACCAAAAACTTTGCTTTTATAACCCTTAACCTAAGTTTATCCGGCAATTTTATTTTTATAATTTCTCTGCAATTTGAATACAAGTTTTTTTTTAATATTTTTTTTATTTTATAGGCGTGCTATTACAAAGATAAACAGCGAAGCCGAACTTCGAGCGCAAATGAAGCCGTTTAGTTTCACTAGAAGAGAAGAGAATGGGATGGCAGAAGTGTGTGAAAGAGCAGTACACATTCTACCAAAACCTAAGAAGAAGAAACGTTTCAAGGCCCGTCCAGTTCCGAAGAACCTTTTCTCTAATTATTTCTACGATAAGAAGAAACAGGATGAATTTTTCAGGTTAAAAATAGTGCGCTATTTATGGATATAGTTATTTCATACTACTAGGTCAAGATTACGTTAGTGTACTAGATGAGAGTGGTAGGAGACCGCTCATCTTGTCGATTAAAGGAAAATCCTACGCCTAACAGAGGACGAATCGCTCGAGATAAGGAGAGGCAAACGATAACTCTCTTTTGTATTCTGGCATTGTACTTCTCAACAATTCTACTTCGACATTTTGATTGTGTAATGCTTATAAAAGCGATGCATTTTTTAAAATGGTAATGTATGTAATAGGTCAATGAATCGTCGTATCAGATCAGAGGAAATGTTACGAAGCGCCAATTACCCGGGAAATATGGCGACTCGTGATCGCAGTCGCCTATCAACGCCGGCGGCACACAGTGATCTGCCTGTAGACCCGTCGCCAGCCGCACCCTCCACGTTGTCCTCGGACAGAGCTAGATGCTCCAGCCCATCTAAAGGATGTAAATCGTCCAAAGATGACTTTATAACGACTAGTCCACAACCGTTTCGTTTCAAGACAGCTGCTAGAGCGAATCAAAAAGTATGCTTAAATTCATCTAAAATTAGCGAACAAACTAATTGTAATTACATAGTTTATGATGATAAATGGTTTTTGGCATTGCAGATGTTAGATATAGCTCAAAAAGTGTACCAAAGTGGAAAAAATACTGATAGTTTTAGCGATTGCATTGCAAAACCTCGCGTGTACTCCGCATTGGAACTGAAAGGGGCTGCAGCTGGACGGTCTAACCTGGCAGCCCTACTCCGTGCTGAGTCGGTGCGGAGGAGGTTCGAAATAGAAGCGGCTAACAGCCTAGCCGAGCAACGAAGAAGAATTGAATTACGGCAAAGAGATCGCCAGTTACGATCCAAACCAGCCTGGCATCTCGTGAAAAACAAGTAAGTACAAGCCCTAATTATTTTTCGATAAATGTAAATTACATAACAAGTATAGATTTAATGGAAAAGGATTATAATCTTGCAATATATTTTAGTCACGAAGAGGATATAGCAATGCGGCTACAGACACGACGAGATGAAGAGAGAATGCGCCGCGAAGAGTTTTTGCACGAGATGGAGCTTATGTACGGTCGAGTCCAACAGCAACCACTACTATTTGAAAGATACTACGCCCCGCGGTCGTATTCCCCTTGTAACATTCGCCTGTCGCCACGAAAAGGCTCAGGAAAGAAACGCGGACGAAGGAATAGTTCCTATCACCTGACCACGTCAAGTGATGGTTTCGAAAGCGATGTACAAAAATGTATGGACAAAATTGATAACGACGATAAAGTATTTGAGAATTCAGATGACATAATTGGAAGCATACATAGAAGATGCTTGTAATTTAACTGTTGATTAATTAATCGTTGGTTTCTAAAACCTAAATCCTCGCTTAAAACATTTTGTTATCTACACTATGTTTGATATGATTTATTCAGGGATTTTGGTTTCAGAAACCCACGGTAAATCATGTAAACTTATTGTTTAAATTTCTGGTCTTCATCTTGTAGAACACCAGCAAAGGTTTCAATCCACTGGTAGCTAAATAGTTTATATTATATTAATCGTTTGTTATTGCACTATCTAATGGTTTTTGAGATCAACATCGCTGTTTAAAATATATAATGCTATGTTTTAAACGGATATTTTGGTATCAGAAACCCTTTTGTTATTAATTATAATACTAAATAAATAAACTTTTGACTTAATATTTAAAGTGGATTATTCTTTATCTTAAAACCTCATTTAACTACAAAAAGGAAGACAAGATTTGTCTATGCCCTCTTGTGATTGTCTACGGATTTAATTGATCACTTATCCCTTAACATGTGGTGAACCGTTAGCTATTTTACCATCATTGTGGTAAACAGTGGCCTTTATCATTTCGAGCCATAGAATCAGGAATAGGAACTCTGTGCAAGTCATAATAATCTTAAGGTGTAATCTATATCTTTTTTACATCTGTGTTAATATAAAATAATTTTCCATACATTCTAAATAATAACAACATTACTGTAGTGACTGATAAAAAAATGCTCTGTTGTATTTGAATTTTAGTGGAATTTAAAACTTTTTAAATATTGTATCAAAAGCAATATGTAAATAATATTATAACTACAAATACTAACTATAATAACTTTTTAACATGTATTAAGTAAAAGAATAATTTTTTTAATAAAAAACATTTATATCCTGATTTAAGTATGTTCTGCAAAATATATCATCTCAAATTTTTAAAATATTATATTGTTTATTAGGCAAAAAATATCAAACTAAATTCTTTTATCTTTAAAGAGTTTGATTTGGAGATCATTGTGCAGAGAGATTTACAAAATCAACGATATCTTGGATTTCGAATAGGCTTCTATCAGATTGTACCTTTTTAATATTAAAAAATATATTATAATTTTCTATCAATCTTGCTTGTATTTGTTACAGTATTTGGGAAAATTATCACATGATATTTTTTATCACCCCTTTTTAGTAACCAAGATTTTTGTAATGATCAATAAAATAGTACTTATTGTTAGGAAGAAAATCCGGAAATGAGACAGTGAATTGACTCAATACAAAATTCATTCTGTCACTGGACATTGTAACGAAAGCACGTCATTAACGCCAAAGGATTGTAATTAATAATGTCTAAAAGTATAAACATAAAAATTTCATACTAAGCAAAGCAACAGATCACTTAATTTAAATAAGTAATAAATTTATTGCTTACATCTAAAGTTTCTACGTAATTTATTATCACAGCCATAATGGTAATCAATAATCTTGATCCTTCGTGGATTATATCCATTTTTACATATTGCAATCCGTACATTGGATATCACGCGTTAATGTTTGTAATAATCCAATCCATGTAAGCAGTTATTCTGGTATACACAGACGGGGTGTCAGTGGCGCCGCAGCGGGCGGATCCGAAACTTGTTATACCGAATAAATATGAATTTGTATTGAATTGAATTGTGATATCTTTGGTGAGAGGACCTCCGGAGTCACCGTTACATGTGTCCTTGCCGGGTTTACCACCGGCACATATAATTTTGTCGATGTCCATTTTGTTAATATGCGCCAGTTTAATTTTACAAATATCCAATGAAACTGTATCCAGATCAACCTTTTGTTTTATTATTGACGGATTTCCTGTAATATTTACAAATATAATAATTAAGATTAATATATCTTAACAATCTTACTAATATTATAAATGAGAATGTTTAGATGGATGGATGTTTATTTGAAGATATCTCCGGAACGACTAAACGGATCTTGCTGAAATTTGGCATAGATGTAGAACATAGTCTGGAAGAACACATAGGCTACTTATTAAGTTTTTTTTCAATCTCGCACGGACGGAGTCGCGGGCAACAGCTAGATAACTTCACAATAAATTATTCTTTTCATTGAATTTAATTATTCGTTAATTCGTATTATTATAAGTACCCTTACCTAGTTCAGTGAGACCCCATCCTGCAGTTGTGAACGATGTTCCTACCACGTAATCCTGATTGGCGACAAATTTTGTAGTGGGCAAACATACTGGCCGGATGTAATCTGAATACAAAATATCACAATATACAATACATGAATACAATACGTAGCTTTTATCAATAATTATTAGTAAAAGAAAGAGCTTCAGGCAAAATTTATGTAAAGTCAAAAATGTTTATTTGCTTTCATTTGGACGTCTTGATCAGTTAAGTTCGTAATGCCCTGTCTAGACATATTACATAAGTATGTTCAATACCTTTCTGTTAGTTGGTGGGTAGGTGGTGTGTTCTCAGAGACACAGGGATGATGATATGTTTTATGCAGAGACTTAGAAACCCACAGTTTGTCAAATGATATAATAGACACAGCAAAATTAAAGTAGCAAAGTTGAATTCCTTATAATTTATTGCATATTTTAAATAGCGCCGATGATCTATTTATTATAGAGCCGCTAAGAAAAGACAAATACCTGTATAATTAACAGAATTTCCCAATCTGAGAAGTGCTATATCTCCATCGTGCAGCTTTTTATTGTACTTTGGATGTACTATAACTTGGACGACTTTCACGTCCACCGGAGGATCACTGCAGTAGTCTTCATTGCAATCCTTCTCTGTTTCTGTATCCCACTCGCCAAGACGTACAGACAATCTAAATAACAGTAATGAATATTTTAAATATTCCTCCATGTAAATAAAAAAAAAACTGTAGTGTATGCGCTATTCAAGACTTTAAATCTATTCTCTGTTCCCAACTTCATTCAAATCTCTCCAGCCGTTTTTGGGTTATTATAATCCTTTTTTAAAACAAGCTAAAAAACGAGATAAATCAAAAATTGTTGATCTTTGCACATGGGGATTAGAATTATCGCAAATAGTCACCCCTGTCACCTTTTAACGTGAACATGTCGAATTAACAATAATCCTGTATACATATGCAAAGTTTGCGCAATAATTGCTAGTTGCTCTCTGAAGACAACGGTATTTGGAATATATTAGAATCACCTTTACTTTTGCATATACAATTTTACCTATGTACATTTTCTTTAGGCTCATTCTTAGTTTAAAAAAAAGCACGTGACATTAGCACGTACTAACTTATAACCTAACTATAACAAATAGATTAAATAATTTAAACAATAAAATGACTTACACATTCCTATCTACTACACAATGAGCAGCTGTCACAACAAATTGTTGTGTTATCAGAGATCCGCCACATGTGAATCTCATCCTGTCATATTCTAAAATAAAACGTTAGATAAATACAAAAAGCTTGTAAATAAAATATATTCTCACGCATGTAATGAACAAGGAAACATTTGTTATATTTGGCGCGATTCTGTCAAATCTAGTATTACCACAGATAATAAAATAAGTTGGTATTAGTATTTTCCCTGATCTATATTATGCCAGTACAGTGGTACTGTAGCGCTCATAAACAACGCTGGTATACCTGGCATAAAGTAAATTCTAACTGGTGCCAGTAAGCCAATACAATCCATCTCAGCGCTACCAATGTAAACCAGGCCTTATGGTATTATATAAGGCCGGCAACGCCTCCTAGTTACTTTAGTACTGAGGATGTCTAATAGCGTCGCTGAGAACCTCGGTGTTTCCACCACTCGTTGCCCTTTTCTCTTATGAAAAAATGTCCTTATCATTGTGATCCGTCATCATTTTGCATTTTAATAAAAGTATGTTAAACAATTGCGTCTTAAGCCGATGATAGGCTAGATCTGGGGGTTATCAGCTGCACCCAATGCATGCCCTCGTCTACGGTGTAAATAAGTATGGGATTGCAAATGGGACAAATATACAAACATTGATATTATTTACGTTTACATAGAAAGATATTGATTATTTTATTATTACACTTACTCTTCGTTGCAATACGAGCTAGCCATGGAAATTCATCAAGGGCAGCTATTGAACCACCTATAATGCGATCCAAACCCGAGCCAGAGATGCCACAAACTTTAATAGATGGTAACCCATTAGATGTATTCATGGTTTCCAGTACATTGTTATCTTCCAGTACGTTGTTGCTACCTGTCGTAGGAATAAGTGGGGTTGTAGTAGGTTTTGATGTACTTGTGCTTTCTCTTCTGCTTGTCGCTGTCTCTAAATCGTTTTTAAATACTATTGGACGATCAATCGGACAGCATACCTGAAATAAAAACTTTCTTTTGCATTTCTTATTGACTTTACCATCTGTAGTTTTACGAAAATTTGTCTTAATTTCTACGGCATGTTGCCAATCCTACATGGAAGGAAATAATTAGCGGTAAAACTTTTATTTTTAAATAAATTAAATAATAAATACGTAATTATAGACATAATAATTAATACTTCAAGATCAAAATCAACTATCAATTCTCCCTTTTTCATCTTGAGAAGGGGTTTAGCTGAAAACCAGCTCGACACTGGAATCTGACCGGTGTTGGCAAAGCTGAGCCACCCCCTTTTGCCATCACTATTTCTGTATAACTGTATTCTGTGTAACTGAACAAAGTTATACAACAACTTTGTTCAGTTTTTTTATGGAAATAAAGTTTTTATTTATTTATTTATTTATTTATTTATTTATTTTATTTAAAAGTAATTCTAGAATATACCAACAATAAGTAACAATTATGAGTAATTAAATATTATCAATAGAAAAAAACTTTACGCTACAAGATCTTTGTTATAACAATCCAAATTTCAGAATGGACGTCCACTGTCACATCATTAAAAATTTAGGGGAAAATCTCTAGCTTTCCAGGGAAAAAACCTATTTTAAAGTATATAAATGCTTTAATAATATTATGACGTAAAATATTACCATAGGTCCTCTAACGTCGAATCCACAAAACATCTTTCTCAACAACATATCTTCTCGGTCTTTTAAAGCTTCCAGAGCTGAAGTACAGTTGGTTATTACCGTGCAATTTTTGTTTAGCTGTTGACATAACATGTCCGTCTGTGATAATGTTGTTCCTGCTATTAATAAAATCATTAAAATATCAAATTAAATATTATATAATATTACTTAATCTACTTTTTAGTACATTCATTGATATTATTAATATAATAAATATGAATGTTTAGATGTACAAATGGATATTTGTTAGAAGGTATCTTCAGCTCAACGGATGTCGCTGGCTGTCTGATTTAGGGTTCCATTAGTAGGGGTATGGTGAGGGTTTAGTGTACCCTCGGGGACTAAGTCTAGTTCTTAGTCACCTACGCTGACCCAGTGTGTATTGGTTGAATTCACTATCTTTGAAAATGTTTGTAATAGATAAATAGATGTGTACAAGTTGCTTCGATGTTTTCTTTCACCGTAAGAACATCAAATAAATTTACATACAAAGTTCGAAATCAAGTGATTAATTAACCTCTGAGTCTTTTCTGGGAAGTTGCCAGCATGCATTTATAATATTAAAAAAAAACCCGTAATCAATTCATATTATAAAGACAAATTATCGTAAGTTGTAAAAAATATATACACAGGCCGGCGGAAAAACCTGGCAAATTTAAATTACAATTTATGACGCTACGAGTTCAGAACCCAAAGTGCCGAAATAAAATTTCCCGAAATATTATCCTTTATAAGTTTGGTTTTGGTTATAATTTCATTATTACTTGGGATTATCTAAAATTCGTGATTAATTACTCTGAGAAGGGTAATATTTTTCGCGGGTATTTTATCTACGTGGGTTTGTTTGAAATTTCCTTTATGACAGGCCTTAAGGCCTGAACTTAATTTAAACACTAAGGTGTCATTCTGTTCAATTCTTTCTCTGAGTGTTCATACAATGCGTTGGGGTTTTTTGGTATTTTAGGTAAAAAATTTTGTTATCAAAAATGTTACATATATTTCTAATGTGGTCAGAAGTATTTTTGTTTTTCCGTGTTTTGCGGTTTGGTAAAATGGTACATTCAGCCATGTTATGATATTAATTTACTACTTATCTGCATGTATGTAATTGAAAACACTTAATAATTAGCCTATTTTTCCTTCAGACTATTTCATCTATGTACATCCATGCAGAGGTTCTGGAGATACCTTCTACAAACAATTAAACTTTTGCATTTTTATTGTCAGTAAGATGTACCACCGTAGCTTATTCGCTTGTACCGATTTTAACAAGTGAGATATGATACGATCCGATTTCTTCCCCTGAGTGTTATAAAGGATACAGTTTGGAGAATATTTTGGCTATATATTAACAAATAGAGTTTTCGATTATGATGGCATCATGGCGATTTGTAGCCACAGTAAATAATTCAGGGTTATTTATTTGTATTTAGTCTTAAAAATATGTTTAAAAAGCAACAGTTATGTGACAATATAATTTAATGCAGGGGTGTAAAACCTTTACGTATTACGTGTCATTTTGTTTTTATAAAATCTTATTTTTTAGAAGAAGGGGGCAAACTAGCAGCGGGTATACCGAGGTGTTCATTGACACGCATGGACATCTGGAATACAAGAGGAAGCTCACTTACGTGGCCGGCTTTTGACATGCGATTTAATGAGGTAATAGAGATCAAACTGACAATAATTTTGATTTTGTGATTATTGGGATCATATAGTAGCAAAAGGATCACTACTTCACACTTGTTATCGATGTCTACCCAAAACATGGTATCTGCCGTGCCGACGATTCGCCATCCTTGATTTAGCGGGAGTCTACACTTACGCAGAGTTAATACGTTGGCAGTCGAAAGAAAAAGTAATAAAAAAACGCTTATAGATTACTTAGCAGAAGACAAACATATGTTGACTTCTTTGTCCTTTTAGTTTATAATAAAAATAATTACTTTTAACATATTGTATCATATTACTATTAACAATTATTATTTATATCAAAAGAAAAATATGCTTAACTAAAAAAAACATATTTGAAGTAGAAAAGTTAGCCGTAACTAGATACGTAAGTACTGTTAAACTACAGAGTATATAATAATACATCTTGCAACAAGTAGGAGGAAAAATCGAATGCGACATAAAAACAAGAAGATATTATAAAGACTTACGGAAAGATCCAGCTACAAGGACAACCAGCCACATCCAGTTTGCGCTAAACCGAGTCATTATTTTTTATTATTATCTTATTTTCAAAACTCAAAATAAAATTAACTACACTGTTTGATTTCTATGTTACGAGTGAATTGAATTATCGTATATCAATGGTTACAATGTGCCCACATACTACGCAAACAGATGAGTTTTGTTTTATATTCGTATGCATAAACTGACAAGTGACTTAACTCGTCGCACTTGTATTGCACATCAATTATCTCATCTGTATGAGTGTACGTCAGTATTCGTTCCAGTTCAGTACACATGCTACTGTGAATTCATTCATTCACTCAGTTGCTCACTTGTATTTATCGTATGTTCATAGGCCATAAAATCAGTGTTGTTGTTATAAAAATTATGTTAAAAAGTATTAAAATAATTACCTATGCTGTTATCTTATTAGGTAATAGTGTTAAAGTCAAATTTGTCTAATATTTACTAATATAATGATGCTTCTTTAGGATATAAGGAAGAAAATAATGATTATTCTATAATTAAAAACTGACCATAGATAAATAAAGTTTTAATGAAGTTTAAATAAAATGTTAAAATTCCTTGATTGAACCAAAAAAGAAATAAGCTGTTTGTTTTGTATTATTTTTATTGATCGTAAACGTGTTCAATATAATTTTAAGCAATATTATCTAAAATCCATTTGATGAAATATGGTATGGATGTATAAACGCCTGGCTTTTTAATTCCGCAAACTGTCGGTCCGAACGATACCACACCAACAAGGAAACTTTTTGGTCCTTCCGCCGTGTCGAAGATCTGTAATGAAATAAAGTCATGCCTTGTGCCTAAATTGCTTTTGCCGGCAGTGAACATACTTAAGGGAAACCACAACTGTGCTGCCGACTCCTAAAATAATGGATTCATATAAAATTTAAGTGTTATTCGAGAATAATAATCATTTCAAATTAAATATTTTACTTTGTTTGTCTAAATTGAATGTTTGTTTTCTTATAACTTAATATGCGTGACACAAAATTAGTCATGCTTATTATTGTTGAATGTCGTGAACAAATGAAGGGCAGACGTATTATACCAGTGTCAATCAATTAACTATTAAGTAAGCAATTAAATGACTAATACTCGTTTATGGTTGAGGATACTCACTCTATAGATTATTCAGAACATTTAAAGTACGCAACAAGATGATTCGTCTTACATTTTGAAATCAACGTGTTTGCATTATACGTATGTTCTATTTTTTACTGCATATATTTATTTAAGGCAATGTTCACACGATGCTTATTATTAGTCACTGAGTATGAGCATGATGATTGGTGTATTTCTTATATGTTATGTTATGTTTAAAAATACCTTCATAAGTGGGCCTCCCGAGTCTCCGCCGCATGCGTCTTTGTTTCGCTGCGAGCCCGCACATATTTCTGACTTCTCTACTTTAAAGCCTTTGCCGAAGAAACCACAAGACTCTGGCTTTAGGACTGGCAACTGTAAAGTATGTAACCTTTGTTGAACTGGTCGTCTTCTCAAATCGTAATTCGTAAAGGGACAAAATTTACCGAAACATATTGTAGTATATCAGCCCTCTGGTCCGTGGACATGTTCATTTTGCCCCAGCCCGCCGCTGTCACAAGCTCGCCTATGCGCAAATCCGTTAGCTGGTCTTGCTGCGGCAGGCAGATCGGGGCAACGTAGTCTACAAAGTCACATTAACAATAACCTACTAGAAGCAAAATATTAGTTGCCCACTAACATTTGTTTTATATACCTTACGATTAAGGATAGACTGACTCTGATCAGAACATGACAAATTGTTAATTATGTAAGACGCTGGAGAAAAGAAATAAATATTTGATATTTTCATGTTTTCGCGACATGTCAAATCGTGTTGCGGTTCCGCTAACGTAGGACAACGGGTTAAATAACCTCGAACACGTCCGCAAAATGAGGGTTATGGTTATTAGTTAATTAACTACAATAAAAAAAATACTGACCATTCAAATCTAACGGGGAATCTAACTCAATAATCGCAATGTCGTTGTGGAAGGGGGGCTTATTGAAGCTGGCGTGGCTGCGGATGGCTTTCACCTGGCGATCTTGGAGCGGTGGCGCGCAAACTCCTGTTTGACAGTCGGGGTCTGTCCGAGTATCGTACTCACCAGCACGTATTGACACCCTGTATAATGTATTTTTAATATACAGGCTGTATCAAGAGTAATTAAAATCGTATAAATCTAGTTCGTGATTCAATTCGTTTTTAAATTTTGTTTTAATTCCATGAGTTGTTCTATTTATGTTTATATGTATTTAAAAGATTAGTTACAATTTAATGCCGTCGTCTGCTGTCTTCACGCAGTGGGCTGCGGTCACTACGTGTCTGTCTGTGACCAGCACCCCGCCGCACATCCAGTCCAGATCGTCTTCGCCCTCCACTATAATTATCCAAAAATATTTTTTTATTATTTCATGAAACTGACAGATGCAACAATTATTAATCTTCCTACAATTAATTCTGAATGATTTTTCCACAATGAGGATGAGTCTTGCTTTGTCTTTATTGATTAAGGTTATTTTGAATCCGGTAAAGTTTGTACCTCGTAAGTTTGTGACCTTGCCCAATAAAAAATATGGCATCAAATAACAATACCAAGATTTTTGCTTAATTGATCGATTTTTTATAATTAAAATCAAAGTAACTAACAGGTATATCCAAGTCGTAAGATCCATGGGAACTGTCCGAGCGCTGCGTTGAGGCCACCGATGATGCGGTCTGCGGCGCTGAAGCCGCACTCAAACGATTCCAACTTCTTCCAAGATGGATGACTGGCCACTTGTTGCCATGTGTCACCTGCAGCGCCCACGACAAGCTAACTAACGTCACTTCACCACATAAAAAAAACTGTTCAAATAACAATTATAAGCTTACCCGATGTGTGACTAACGATCGTTATAATTATAACTACACAATTCCAGTAAATTATACTCATTTCTGAAACCAATTTACGTCACTGATACCAGATATTTAATTTGCTGAGACTTGTTATTTCGGCAGAAGTTCATGCCTGCCAACGTTCTCTCACCCAACTTATTCTTATGCGACTGGGCTAGATGAAGCGATGAGAAGCGATTAGTTCCACATTGTTCCTTGCACCATTAAATGTACGCTTTGTAATCGACCTAACAACGAATGCAATATCGTACAACAAATTCTGTTGAGTTAAATAAGTGAAGAATTAATTTTATACGATCGTCAGCCAAACAATCGATTATAATATTGTTGTGTTGTTCTGCATATTTTAGATATTATATTTTGTTATTAAAATAAAGGTATGCCGCAATTTTTTCTATGATAAGACACAAATGAAAATAAGTAAGTACTTTAAGCCAAAAATAACATTCAAGTGTTCTTCTTTTACATTTACACATTACAATAGACACAAAAACATAATAAGTGATATTGTTTTTATTGTTAAAACTACATTCACAGCTCCTTTGTGAAAAATAGTACATTCTGGCTTCGTTTTTCCAAGTTAAGATCGAATGAAATTATTATATTCATCCCCCGTTAAGCATAATGTGTACTATCTTATAACAAATAAGACGCGACGCCCGCGACTCTGTCCTCGTGGATTAATAGAAAACCTAATATGTAGCCTATGCGTCCTTCCAGACTACGCTCTACCTCTATTCGAAATTTCAGCGAGATCCTTTCAGCCGTTCCGGAGGTACCTCTAAACAAACATCCATCCATCCATCGATCCATCCATCCAAATATTCGCATTTATAATATTAGTAAGAAATAAGAAGTCACTAGTTAATTGTTTGTTTTCACATCTGATTATTCCTTACTCAAAACAATGTGGTTTTATTCATTTAATTTTCTATTATTATTGAAGTTTTAGCATAATTTCTATGATTTTTATATTGACGTCATAGAATAATATAAGTGTCTGGTTAACGGTGGGGGAATGTTATTCTATGCGTCATAATTTTTCTCAAGCGTTACAATTGAATATGTTTCGTTACACGACCTAATTGCTGTAAACTAGTCGTTAACATCACAATAACTGAATTTATGATCTAATTAAAACGTGAATAATGTGATCCTAACACCGTGGATAAAGCACCATACACATTAGCTAATAAACACTTGAAAAATAAAAGGTTTTTTCTTTTTGTTACATTTTTGCCCTTCACCGTGCTGATTATGATTTTTAGTGAAATTCTGTTTACCAATAGAAAGTAGAATTAAACTAACTAGTATTAATTTAACTTACTCATCTTACTAATATTATAAATGCAAATGTTTAGATGACTGGATGGATGGATGTTTGTTTAATAGTATCTCTAAATTTAACTAACATAGTCTGGAAGAACACATAAGCTACCTATTAAGCTTTATTTAATTCCGTATAAACGGAATTCTTTGCCAAAATAAAGCTGTAAAAAAATGAGTATTCATGACGTTATTGTGAGGTTATGTAATTATTTTAATGAAAGAAAAAGTATTTTTTTTTAATTATTTCCCTACGCTATAGTAATTCGTAATAAAAGTCCCTTCCATTTAACAAATTCTACATATTTATTTAAATGTATCGAATTTTCTAGAATACAATTTATAACGAGTTTATGAGAATACAAATGCGTATTGGAATAATGATCAGAATAATATCAAATGGCAACGAACCAAAAATCATCCTACGAAGTATATTTTAGCATGAAATTATTTTATTGTATTAAAGTTCCACGAAAGTATTAAGATAGTCACTCATATGTGGCTTTAAATTCTTGGATTATTTTATATGACTAAGAATTTTTCACCTTCTAAGAAATAACCTTACGTCTTTCCATACAATATATTAAAGGAAAGTGAGACTATTATCGGGTTAACAGTATGATTACTAATAGCTATATATTTTTTAGGATTTTATAAAAACCTTTATATTAGTAGTTAACAGAATAGCGCAGTTCAACTTAATTATCTTAAAAAGCTGTTTGTTGTCTAGTCTAGTGCACAGGACAACTTTAATGGTATTAAAACATCAAGACTCCAAGTATAACCTTCGCCATTGCAATTAAACCGAAGGTGTTTTTTTACACAGGACAAGAACGATGGGAACGAATCTGAGTAATCATAATTGATATTTCGAGTTGGATCGCTTTTTACTGGTAGAATTGTCATTAGTTTCACAAGAAATCGTTTTGTATTGTACCCAGTTACTGTAAACATGCGTCTAACCAATGAGGTGTAAGTTAATGGAATCTTAGAGTACCTTTTGCATGTTTCTGCACCAACCAACTAGTAAAATAATTAAATTACTCTTTCTCTCTCTCTGGCTCTCTGTATCATGAAGTAAATATTAAAAAAGAAATAAAAAATAACCTCACGTACATCAACGTTTTTTAAGGAAAGATAAAATATTGAATTGACTTGAGGAAAATGGCATATGTTTACCTGATTACCAAACAACCTTGTAGTTGTAACAAATATAGATTTAGTTACTCGTTGAATTCGCGATATATTATGTGTAATTTAATATAATAAATTTCGATTTTCTGGAAAGTTACGCTAAGTCACCATTAGGCTTACCAATAACCAGTCTACGGGGATAGCCCTTTTATTGTTATTTGTGAGTATATAACTATCAACACGCATTGTTCGTCTTATTTGGAAGTTTAACGGAAGACGACAATATTTCCGTGGCCGTTTTAAGAGTATTTATTTTAAAATTACACATTTTACATACTATATAAGAAAATAAGTTTTAAAAACAACGTGTTAAAGTTCAAAATTGCTTATTTAAAACATCATACATGATCATAAGGTAGACAGTTTGCTTTTTCTTGTTAAACTAGTATGGTAATGAACGCGGTATCGACGAATGACCGTCGAAGAGTAACGTCATTTCGTATCTCTTGTTATATCTTAGTCACGAAATCAAGTTTATACTTAAAATTTAAATGTTATTAATCAATTTTTTTGATAGAAAATTAAAGCATGCCGTATCCAAATCAAATAACTTATGTACATTCGAATTTCGTGATCTTTAATAAGGAGAAAGTTAACAGTGTTTGTGGTTGGATTATTTTGAGGTATTCAATATTTTGATCTTGTATCGAGTTTTTGTAAATAAATATGTTATTTTAATGACTTTCCGATGTTTCCGTTAGATATGTTGTATTGATACGTGTTAGTTTGCTTCAGATCTTGAGCGAATCGCTAGTGCTATAGTTTGACAGAGCGAGATAAGAAAAATATAAAATGAGGAAGTGTTTACAATGCCTTATGTCTTTTTGTGCATTACTGTTGACGTCCGTTCATTGTCGTGAGTACAAACTTTATTTATTAGCCAATACTATTATGTTAAATAAAAACATAAATCTTAATAAAAATTTAATCACAAACTATTTATTATGATTCCAATATATTTTTTTATTTATAAAACGTATTGATAAGTAAAGTGAAGATCGATTTTTAAAATACTAAAATTGTTTTATTTTAAAATAAACTTTTTAAAAAGGTAAGATTAAAATGACTTTATTTCTTAAAGTTGGAAACTGTATATATTTCACCGAGTAATTACGGATATAAAAGTGTATTATAATTAAGCCGAAGACGTAATTAGGGTCAAAAGACTCATATCTATGTCAATTGTCGGTTATTATTCAAAATGAATTTAATTATTTTTTAATAACATCATCATATTATCATCGTTGTTACATTCCGAATGATGTACAAATAAAAGCAAAAATGACATTGTGAAAGTACGCAGTTGATCTTTAAAATGTGGGTAGATGAAAGATGTCATTTGACCACATTGATATATTGTAAAGTTTATTCACATTGATTACACATAAATAATTGTTTTACTTTATTGTTTGGAACTATTAATTGACGGGGAAAAATGGCAAATCATATGTTTTTTTTCATTTGTTTATTTAATATTCAAATAACTGGGTTGTAATGAATTAAATGTGTTTAGTTAATTACTGATGCACACTATCACTTACGCTTGTGCCACAAGCGGCAATTTACAAAGACTTATCATTTGATCTGTATTTATTTTATATCCTTATAAGATTTTTACTATGTTGGAATATAAAGTAGGAAGCCGCAAACAAAGATACGTATCTAAGTATAGGTAATATTAGAACTAAAGTCATGTTAGTGGTGTTCAAATACAAATGACACGTACCTTTCGAATAAAAAAATAATTATGAAAATCGAATTACTAGGGGCAGAGTTATCGACGAACACAAATTAAAAAAAAAACGTCTGTATGTTTTTTTGAAGTGAGAACCTCCTCCTTTTTGAAGTCGGTTAAAAAGAAAGCTTATTGTTACTGCTGGACACTTATTAGTGATTCAATTTTAAGTTTACTTCTCATCTGTTTCAGAATATTCCGGCGCTAGCTGCGTAATACATGGTGACAATCAACCGGGTGTTTGTTTACCACTGAAAGAATGTATTCCTCTGATGAAGGAGATAAAGAAAAGCGGCACTTCTATATCAACGCAATTAAGGAGAAAATTACAATCTCTATCCTGCGGCTTTGACCAAGATCTTCCCTTAGTATGTATATAAAATTTCTAAACCAAAAACCTAACTGACTCTTTGAGATCAGAGGAAAGAATACGAACCCACCATCAAAATGTTTATAACAGTTTAATCTCGAGGCGGTGACTATGAAACTTACCTATAAACAAACCCACATACATTAAAACTTACTCCTGTGTCACCGTGGGTTTCTGAGACAAAAATTTTAGCCAGCAAAACGTATCGTCATCCTTACCAAAACAAAAACAATAATATGTTTTAAATGAGGATTTTGAACTTAAAAACCCATAGTCTTGTAAAATAATTAATTTTAATATCCTTCACAATTATCAAAGAAATCCATAAACATATTGATTATCCTTTGGTTGATGTTTCAAACGCAACATTTCCTTAAACAGTTGTCCTCTAAAACGTCACTGTGAATCATTTAAATTCAATATGGGAATACTCGTAACATTTAGCACCAATTACGATAGTGTAAATTAGTTTTAGTAACTATTTCAACAAAAAAAGCATAAAAATAGCAATGCGTGTCACTGTGTACCAAAATCAATAAAAAAGAAAAAAACTAGACGAGATATAGACTTGTAGAAACTGCATTGGATCTCTCAATAATAATATCTACATCAATAACGTTTAAGTAAGTTCTTTGTGCACTCGCTCCCGGCGGCACATCGTGGTGATCTTTAGGGGAGGCCTATCCCCAACAGTGGTCGTCATATTTTTTTACAAGGACTGATCTATTAATCTTGTCTTTACAGGTGTGCTGTAGCGCTATTACGAACGATAGAGATGATAGTTCCAGTAACGCGGGTAACAAGAACGGTAATAATGGTGGCCCGCCTGACGTAAGTAGACATCGGAATCTCGGTCTTCTACCAACCCAGTGCGGAAGTATCGAAAATGATAGAATATTCGGTGGGAACAAGACACGACTGTACGAAATGCCTTGGATGGTGTTGATTGCATATGATTCAGGTAAACATCGCTCAGTCTAGATATTATAAATTAATTTCGACTCATATCTGCAGAGCTAATTGCAGGAAGTTCGCTCTTTTTATACTTTGCTCTTTTAGACCATAGCTCTCTATAGGAGCTAGGAGATAGTGAGTAATGCTATCTTCCCGAATCCATCACTTATAGACCATAATTACCAGATGAGCTGAAGACAGTTTAGGTTTTTAGTTTAGTTTAGTGGTTCATTGCTTTCATATTAAAAAAAAATCACATTTCCCCAGCACGTGGAACAAAGTTGAGTTGCGGCGGTACACTCATCTCTGAGTGGTACGTGTTGACGGCCGCGCACTGCGTCAGCTTTCTGGGACCCCGGCTGACGCTGACGGGTGTCGTTCTCGGAGAATATGACGTCAGGAGAGACCCTGACTGCGAGAGAGTTGAAGGCGAACTGAATTGTGCTCCAAGATCAAGGGTCAGTAGTTTATTAAGTACTTATTATCTTATTTTTGAAGATACACCAATAAAAAGATTTTTGTAATGTACATTTCAGAATGTAACCATCGAGAGTGTGATAGCCCATCCGGGCTACACTCCGCAGTCTCTGGTCGACGATATAGCGCTGGTGAGGCTATCTGAACGGGCTGACTTTACTTTAGGTAAGATTTAATACTTTTATATTTCACTTTTTTTCTATTATAACGTGCCTTAGTCGTTTGCCACCTTAATTTGCCAGAGCCCATAGACATCCGGATGTGCAGATGCGTTGCCTACCTTTAATAGGTAGAGGAGGGGACGGACCGAAAGAGGATATTTCTCTTTACTGTGCGTCCCTTTTCTCCGCTAAATCACCATAAGAAGATGGTGAGAAGGGGGAAGATAATAATTAAGTCTCCGGCACGCACAATCGTCAGAGACAACAGATGTTGTTGCCGGCTCTACCATTGTTAATGTTACTATCTTTATTACAATTTAATATCTTATATTTATGTAGCCTAAAGCAACAGGCTGGTTAATTCCATTGAAGTAACACAATTTGGCTAGTAGCTACAATAGTTTTAAGTACTTAGAAGTACGACTTGGGTACTTCACGAGTAGGGTGACTAGGCATTTACTAAGCTAGCGTGTACCATCTTTCGACCACATCATCACTTAACATCAGGTGGCATTATGGTCAAGCGCTAGCTTATTAAAAAAAATTGTTGCGCCAATCTAAGCCAAGTTTATCGCATCTTGGATAAATTAGTGACAGCGAACTGATTATTTTCAGATAGCATGAAGCCATTATGTTTACCGACAACACGAGAATTACAGAGAGAGTCACTGGATGACTTAAAAGGAGTTGTCGCTGGCTGGGGAGCTACGGAGGAAGGGCTTCAATCTCCAGTGCTACTTAGCGTCGATTTACCCATTGTTCCGAGAGCGGAATGTCAAGCGGCATACAATGGGTAACATTTTCTGTCAAATTTGAACAAAATATACGTAAAATTTAGATATCTTTCGATTAAAAGCACCCGGTAAATATTTTAGTTTTAATTACGTGTTTCATAGTGTAAAGAGTTTGACACCCTTTTTCATATGTGAGATGTTTGTTGATAAAGTCAATTAACATCTATGACATAGAGTAGATGACTTTTTAAACTTCTATGCTGCGAATTGTGCAAAATGAACTTGGTAAAGCAATTACTTGTCATGTGATATAGTTAAATTAGTTGTTATTTTGCCGTTATTGTTTAATATCGAACAATTGTTTGTTAATCATTATTCGTGGTCAAAATGACCGATTTAGTATAACATGTTATTGCTGCTGTCAGATATTGTTATTACAATTTAATTACTTAGGTACTTGTGGTTAGAAGATACTATTGTTTAAATATATAATAAGAAATTACATATTTTATTGTAAAGATAACTTAACTCTATATTAATTATTAAGTGACTAAATTAATTAAACTACCAAAATAATACTATAAACTATATACTAAAACTAAACCAAACTAAAAATAAAACTAAATAATATAAAAAGTCGACCCCAAATCGCAGCGGTCGCACGGTAGGGTTCCCAAGAGGCTGGCGGCATTTCCCCGTTGGATGGCCAGGCTCAACCTTTGTTCGAAATGCGCGCCAGCCCCTGGAAATAGTAATATATAGTACAATCATTTATTGTTCGCAGATCTCCTAAAATTCATACTACTCAGTTGTGCGCGGGTGGAGTTCAAGATAAAGATTCTTGCGGTGGTGATTCCGGCGGTCCACTTATGTACCCCGGCAGGACTGTGGCTGGCGTGAGGTATGTAGAAATAAGATAATTTGTAGTTCTTCATGACAGGTAGCGTAGAAACAATTTCCCGGTAGGTCCGCAAAAACATATACATATACTGATAAGTCGCAGATATTACTTAACACCGTGTTTTCTATTAAAACCAATCATCTATTTAAAAATGTTGTGTTACATGAGTGGGGCATTTGACAGTATCTTGATAATGCTTAATTTTCAAGTTCCATTTGGAGAAAGTTTGTCTTATCTTTTTAATAACTTAGTCACCGAACTAGGTTACCCAATGTTAAGTGATTACTGATTACCATTAAAGCACCAGATGAACTGCGTGTATGTACTTCAATTTTATAAACGGCGAGATGGGAATCCGGTCTTTTTACCTCCTCAGTTCTTTGGGTTTGGGTTTATAAATCACAGCAGTTTGGATAATTTTAGTTTACTTATCAGGTACGTGCAACGTGGAATAGTATCGTATGGATCCAAGCGTTGCGGCGTTGGTGGCTTCCCCGGCGTTTACACCAATGTAGCTTACTACATGGATTGGATTCTAGACAACATGAGCAGTTAAGTTCTAAGTTAAAACTTTGTAATGTCTAACGGATGTTAGTGGTGACTGATGTATATTTTCTATAGCTTGTAGATTGTATAACACAGCTTATTTTTTAATTTAGTATAACACAATCATACTAAGCTCTAACTAAAATCGTCTTATAACAAATAATACTCAAATCATGCCAAATGTACATAGGAATATTGTTTTATTATACATATTTAATAATCGAGCATTATTTTTTTACTTTACTTTACCCCCGAGTCGAGGGTACTTGTGACGTCACATAATTAAGAGATAAAAAGTATTGTATAAAATTATTAAACCTGGTTATTTAAGCAAAAAAAATAAAGAAAAAGCTTACAAATGAAGACATAGTCACCCCTAATTTAATCTTGAACACCAAGGTGTCCAAGCTGACGACAGTTATACTTTCAGTTACGTAGATTTCTCTCTCTTATAAAAAACCTTAAAGATATAGGTCCGCAAGAATGTTTATAGACACCTATCTTTTAAGGTGGCAAACAAACAAACAGCCACTTGTATTCGCTGAAATAGCGCAGCGATAGCTCTCCATTGACTGTGAATTGAAGCATCTACAATTGCAGATACGTTGCCGATCTTTATCTTTAGTCCACAGAGTAAGGAACGCAACGAAAGAGAAAAGTCTTCCTGTGGTTCCCTTCTCCGTCAAATCCGCTCCTCTTCCCACCCTTTCATTAAGAAAAAGTTGGAAAGGGAAAGAGGACTCAAATTAAGCGTCCGGCACGCACACATATCTAACGAATTACTTCCACTTTACAACTGTCTTCTGTGTGGTCGCGGTATTTTACCGGCCTCTTTGTCCTTTCAACAAATATTTACGCGGGAAATTCCATTGTTAAAATAAATTAATTTAAAAAAAATACGTCACGATCGCTAGCTAATATACTTGTACATATATACATACATGTATAGTATACTCATATATACTTGATTTAAAATTCAGTCATTTGCTCCAGGCATCCGTTTAGACAAAAAAAAACCAAGACTTCTTTTCTAATCACTAGTCCATTTACAATGATTTTAATGTGATAATAATGTTAATAAACAAAGCCAGTTTTGTATAACATTTTTGTACTTTGTATACCTAAATATTATATGTGAACACTAAGTTTTGTTTTTTTTATGTATATAATTTTGACAATTAATTTTTCAGACATTTTGTAAGTTCGTAAATCAACAAGAACGCCATTTATGTTAATAAAAATGAAATAAATATGTTGATGGCCGAAGCCCGATTCAATGTCATATTAAAAGGTCACATGAAGGTCAATCCGTAACGAAAAGATCCTAAGATTTATAATTAGTAATAATTACAATTTTGCACCTGTTACCAATTGAAATTTCTGTTTATTTTTTAAATCGTAACTTAAAACTAATCGATGTCTTTTCTTACAACTTGTTAATAATTTAGAAGTCACTTAATCATTTACTTAAAAGTTGTTTTATATACATTTCTATACTAAACCTCCCTTTGTGATCACTTAACGTGTCTGAGTGCGCTAGGAAGAAGTATATGTTAACCAGTCTTGACTCCAGACGAATAAAATATATTCTATGACGTAAACCGAAAACTTTTATGGAATAACCAGAAAACTTTTCGAAATGAGTAGCCGGCTACTATAAAATGAATGGACCAGTTACTCTAATTAAATAATAAATTACATTTTAATCTCCATGAAATCTATACGAGGAAACCCCATTGCATTCCAATTAACCAAGGATTCTCCGGAATGTTCATTCCATGAATTTTGTATATTGAAAAATAAGTATAATAATACTTGTCTTCTTTATGATACGACTAGCTATCACCCGCGACTTCGTCCGCGCGGAATTAAAACAAACTTAATAAGTAGCCTATGTGTTCTTCCAGATTATGTTCTACATCTATGCCGATCCATGCAGCCTTCAAACAAACATCCATCCATCCATCTAAACATTCGCATTTATAATATTAGTATGATAGTATGATATGATTTCGAATAGAGATCAGCACAACAGATTTAGGAAAGCAATAGACAGGACAACACGAACCAAAATGTATTACCTTGTTACCACAAAGTACAATATCAAGTTTGACATGCCAGTGGCATGTAACCATGTGTATTTTGAGTTTTTTTTTACTCAAACAAAGAGGCCCATTATCTCACGTGCTAATGGATTCAATAAACAAGATGGCTATGTTTTTTTAAACGCTTTTTCCTGTTATAATGTTCAATGTAAATGGCAACGAATGTTTGTGTTAAATCAATGTTTAAGTGAGTTACACATACAAAGGTAAATTCTGTGCAATTGCTTAATCTTTAGGCTTATATTAGTATATGTATAGCTATTATCACGAGCGTCGTCAATAGAGGAGAATGGTGTCTTAAGATTTGAACCATATGTTGAAAAACATTCTCTTCGGAATAAAAAAAGAATAAGGACCTCCCTCTATCATCGGCTACCCCCTTCCCCTCCCTTGATCATCGGCTGGCGACGCGCGTAATCCTACTAATATTATACCTGTGAAGGTTTAGATGGAGAATGTTTGTTTGAAGTATCTTCAGAGTATAAAGCCGGCATAGATCTCGATGAAATTTGACATAGAAGTAGAGCATAGTCTAGAAAAACATATAGGTTACTTATTATTATTTTTTTAATTCCGGTCGGATGAAGTCGCTGGTAACAACTAGTATATGAATACAGCAGCAACATATACGTATCTATGTTTAGTTGGGAATCGTTACTATTTCAACTGTAATTAGGTGCTAATTAGAATTTATTTTATCCACGAATATACATACTGACAATGAATAGAGAACTGGAAAGGGACTCAACTAAGGGCGTTTTATTACTAATATTTTGACCATAAACGTTAATAAAACTTAGTTATAAATCAGTTGAGGCAACATCTATGGTAACGTCAGACGTTATTTAAAAAATAACTGTCAAAATCATTATTTTTATAATAAAATGATAATAAATGTAATACAATCATGACTAGTTGTGGTTTGCGAAGCTTGAAACGGGCGTTTTCTAGGTACAAGGAGCACGATGAACTCCAAAGGTCTACGGAGGAACGGGTGCCTCGAACGCCGACGCCTAGCTTCGCATCCTGTATAAGCGATTCTTGCAGTTGTCAGCTGTCGTCGCAACAACCAGAACCAGCTGCAACACTCGGTTCACCAGTTACTCGTGGACGGTCACCAGTACCGGAAAATCGCTGCTGTTTAAATGTTAATATTATTTTATGCTAAAGTAATAGAAGTTTATGTTATAAAATTTCTAATGAACTTGTATCGATTATATTATATTAGGAAGAAAATCGATTTTAGAAGCTATAAAAGTGTACCAGGAGCGTTCTAACACTTCAGATTATTGTCACAAGCGCCTATTAAATTGTTTAAATCCAGCTTCTTAAACCCAATAGCTTATATACTATCCAAATACTGTATATAAATATTCTAACTAAACTTCAAAGCGGTAGCTAGGATTGGATTTACAACAATATACGTATGAACTCAGGACCCATACGATACGTATTCTTCAACTATTAAGTACTAGCTCTTCAATTTGTTTTTAATCAATTTCAGTTCATGGAACGTATATCGTGTTCAATGGGAACGTCATGGAAAAGTTTCCATATGCTGTACAAAACAGTCTCCAGCGACAGATTTACTTGGCAGTTGTTCAAAAGTATCATATTCTTCACGCTCGGCTTGAAGTTGTTCAACGATATAGCAAGGCACATGGCAAAAAATAATAAATAATGCATGTCTACAAGATTTTGAATTTAAAAGTATTTATTTTTGATTTTGTGTCATTTCTTTGTCCTTTCGCTTATCTCTATAGCATAGAGTAGAAATAATGGAACTTTGTTTACTTGATTTTTTTTTACGAAATAAAAAAAAGTAATTTTAGGTATATTTAAAAACATTAATGAGTTCTCATAGAGGTTTTACAGTCTTAGGTCAGTGTTAGGTAATCTTGACTACCTTGTCCAGTGTCCAGTGAACCAGTGCAATGGGTATGTAAAGTAAACCTGTAATGTCATACCTAATATGAGATGTATACTCAATACATGCGCACTGAGTGTGACAACAACAAATCTCTAAAGGAGTATAACATTTATAAGATGATTTGACAATATTTTATTAAGAACACCATATAGCCTCTGGGATTTTCTAATGAACACTGCGGTAATTACCAAGCGCTCACCTGCGAGACTTGAGGAAAAAACTGCGCTGAATGATGTAACGAATGTTCGCTTTTGAACGCGTTAACAGCAAGTTTTAATATCAACATATTTTGAAAGTTATATTTTTCTTTGTTAGTATTCAAATGCTTCTTTATTTGGTGATGTACTCTCAAATAAACTTATTATTAGCGAGTAAGGTAAGTCTACCGACTTGTTTGTGTTGTTTTTCCTTATTGTCAAGTGTGTGGGTTTCACTCGGACAAAACCAAATTGTCATCACTGTGATTACCTTTGGAAATAGCGACATTACAATACAATGAAAACCTACGGTTATTCAAGACCTAACTTGCTATTACTATGAAAATGTTAAAAGACCTCCAAATTCGTTTATTAATCATTTTAAAAACGTCGATTGAAATGAACACTTATTCCAGTATCATAGAAATGCGACAGTAAGAATATAGCACTGAAATGCACGAACATTACTTTCTATTTTTCTTTGTTAAACGAAAAATACAGGTAAAAGTTTTTTAAAAGCGGATGAAACTTGGAAACGGCGTATAGTCGTAAATATGAGCAACATATATTTATTGAGATTAGAATTCGCGGAAACCTGATATTCGCTTTATGCAAACACTCGCTAGTAGATTCACTTTAGTTGGCCGCACGAACAAAAGTGGGGACCACGCGTCGTCACACACGTTTTTAACTTAATATTTATTATATTCAAGATATGGATACATAGGATAACTTGCTTCTTTCCGTAATTGTTGTGAATAATATGGTATATTGATGATAACCTTTTGAACAACGAGCTTGTTTATCTATCACTCTACAAGACGTCGCCGTTTTAACAACATAAAGTGAATATATGATAAATTTATATTGAAGTTTGTGTTTTGTAATGGATATAAAATGCAAAGCAGTTGTTTTGAGTATTCTGGCTTCGCTTGTTGCAGCCCAAGGTATGTTTTTTTTTTCTATTTCAAATCGTATTTTTTTAGTATCATATCTTAATAACAAAAACTTATATATTTAAATAAATTATGTTATATAACTTCAAGTAAAATTCCTTTAAAATATAATATAAATAAGCAACTTTTGTAGCAATAACTATAAGCCTTTAATCATTCAATTCAACTTCAAATATGATTTTTTCTTAATGTATTACTTTTTTATGTACAGTCGTGTACATTGTTTTTATAACGTATTTATGACAAACTAGTTTTTGCCGCGAATCAATTAGCGCGGCGTTCATAAAATCTTAGTTAGTAGCCTATGTGATCTTCCAGATTATGTTCTACATCTATGTCAAATTTCACCGAGATCAATCCAAACATATCGCATTTATAATATTAGTAAGAAGCAAGTAGATATAACGTCTACGATATATTTTAAGAATAAATTAAAACATGAAATTAAATGAAAACCTTCCAATATTATTGATTATAAGATTCTATTCTTGTATCTTGTATATATATTTCCCCATTATCGTCTATAATGTGGCAATTATCAATTTGTTCTGCAAATCCTGAAATTGTCACAATGGCATCGTTCTTTATTATATATTTACTTGATGTATTATACACTTTAGTACGTGGTGACCAAAATAATAGAGAGTAACCTTTTATAGCGCGATTGTACCAAACATAATAATGTTCTCGACCAATGACATGACGGTAGAAGCAAACCCGTTCTCTATTATCTGTATTGTAAAGATGTGCGCTTGCGGAAAATACTGAGCTGGCAAATAGCGTTACTTTAGGTAGATAATAACATTTACATTGTACGTTATTTTGATGTTATAACCTCGTAAAAGATTTAAAGAGCACAATAAAAATGGCTACAGAACTATAAGCTATTTTTAAGGAAAGGGATACATGACGTGATGTGTACCGATTTCTCACGTCACTGACCGTGGAAACATTACTCTTATATTGTGTGTTTCCACTGTCGACAATCTTACTTCTTACTAATTTTATAAATGCAAATGCTTAAATAGATGGATGGATGAGTGTTTGAATGTACCTCCAGACTTTCTTAACGAATCTTGATGAAATTTGGCATACAAGTAGAAGATTGTGAGGAAGAACACATAGGCTACTATTTTTTTTTTAATCCACGGAAACGGAGTCGCAATCGACAGCTAGTTTGTAATAAGTTGATCATGTGGTTTTTGTAGTAACTTTTCAACCTTAACTGGGAATAAGTGATGATTTAGACCACCCATCCTCCCCTATAAATATTTTTTTTATCATTAAATTCACATAATTATTGAAAATAATTACACGTGACGTTTTACTCCCATATCCATTCTCGTGATTTTTTACATCCCCGGTCTTTTGTGGTATAAATTGGATCTTCAGACGACGGCTTAAGTGATTGTTGTAACTTCTGCCGCCTATATTGGGAACAGTGAGTCATTTCAGTATACCATTATTTGATGGAAACTTCACTCAAGTCACAAATATCTTCTATCGATTACATATAAAGATTTTTAGTAATTCAATAATCCTTGCAACAACACACTTTTGCGTATAATTTGATTATTTTGATATGTGCCTTCCAGTTTTTAATTGCTCTTTTTTATTTTATTTTCTTCCCAACGTAGACGTTGTTAATTGTTGAAAAACCGGCTTAAATCTAGCCTGTTATTGTAGCTAAATCTCGTCGGACTTCTTAGGTATTCGGTTGACGATAATTATAAATACTTGTTTTTTTACAATCCACTTATGGGCTTGTAGATGTTTACTCTTTCCTCTTGTTTAAAAAGCTTGATTTTTAAGAGACTTGTCAAATTAAATTATTTTTTTATATCGTACATATAATTTTATCATTATTTACTTATGTGCTCTTGTCTTGTTCCATATTTTAATTATTTGAAGTAACAATATATTAATTTGATTTATTTTTATAATTACAGAGCCATGTCAAGGCGGAGCTCCTTGTGTTAGAGTACAAGATTGTCCTGCCATTCTGAGTCTTGTGAAGGACCAGGCAGACTACGTCAGGGACTTTGTGAAACCATTGCGATGTAGCCCAAACGAGGTAGACAATAGGTATCTTACATTTAACTAAATAAGACTAAGAATTATAGTTTTCGTTTGTTTGGTTGTCGGCCTAAATAATTTATTGACGTCATATGTAAACGTAATCACAAAATTACTTTATCAAAGTTTGAGCTTTTACACAAACATTTATATTTCAAATTTTTCGATTTAGTGATAGAACGAATCCATAAGAATACAGTGCGTTTTATTTTTCAGTACAAAATATGCTGCCCTCCAGTTTTTAGTGACGCAGGCGCATTATTCAAGCCGCAGTCAGTGTTACCGGACACCAGCGTGTGCGGGATAATGACAAATGACAGGATCGTTGGGGGATCTATCACCGAGCTCGACGAACATCCCTGGCTGGCCTTACTGCGATATGATAAACGTTAGTTAACGAAAACTTGAAGAAAATAAAAAATAAACTGCTAAACACGTATTTCCCCGGTGTCGGCGCAGACAAGTTTTGAGTCCATCGGGGAAGCTTCATGACACCGGACAAATACGTGTTAAGCCGTTTTTATGTTAATTTATAATAATGTCTCACGAAAATAAAAACATGATTTTTGTTCGACTGACGAGTGGGTAATGTGGGAACATAAGTTTTTTGCCCACTTGTTCAGTGGAGGTTTTAATGCCACCAGCATGTTGCGCAAGATTTCTACTTCGCCCCTGTTTTTACCATGCCTTTAACAGGGGTCAAGAGAGATTGTGTAATTGGTAGACCTGTTTAACCCCTTTTTGTTCAGCCCCCCAGGCAGCAATAGCCTTTCATTTACTGTAATCTTTTTGAAGCACAGTTGGTAGCAAATGGTTTTTGTCATCAAAAAGTGTGATGTAATTGGGATTTATGAGATTATCGTACCCTTCTTGAACTTAATTCTTATAGTTGGTGTATTATTGGCACTACATTTTCGTTTGAAAAGATTCCTGTGTTTTACAGCAAACGGCTGGGGTTTTTACTGCTCTGGAGTTTTGATATCATCGAAATACGTGATGACCGCCGCACATTGTATTAAAGGAAATGAACTGCCGCCCACATGGTTATTGTGAGTTTCCATTTTTATTATAACTATATTTAAAAATAATTAACGAGAGAGTTCATCATTATCAGCTCACTTTACATTTCCGTTGGTCGGAGTCTTCAATAAGTTATGGGTGACTAGGACAAAAGCTTTTTAACTTTACAGCCCGACAAACAAGAAATACTGTAATTATCGAGTTTGTATGTACCTATATTCGATCGTTTTATATTATTTCTATGAGCGTTGTACGTATGGCCTAATTTTCGTAACTCCACAAGATTGTTTAAAATTTTAGAACTCAAGTCCGGCTTGGCGAATGGAATATTACCAGTTCGAGAGATTGCGTCGACGATGACTGCAGCCCGTCCGTTCAAGACATCAACGTTGTGGAACGCATAGCTCATGAAAACTACAATCCTGATGACATGCATCAACACAATGACATAGCACTTTTGAAACTGGCGCGCGACGTCGTGTTCTCAGGTAAAGTATACTGGAACGAGAGTTGTTTTTATTTATACTAAAATTATTAATTTTACTTTGGGTATCTCTAAAATATTGAGTTACTTGAAGGTTATCTTTTAACTTAGTTATAATCACCGATATTGTTTTAAAGTTAATTTCTGGATTACACTACAATAGTACAGAATATAAATAAGAATTCAGATGTTTAGTGTCCATTCGTACCAATGTTTTGTTTGTATGAATAAAATTATATTATAATACTGATTTTATTTTCAGATTTTGTTAAACCTATTTGCCTTCCGTTAACCAATGCCCAACGTACCAACTCGTTTGAAGGTTACGAAATGGAAGTGGCGGGATGGGGCAAAACTGAAACAAGTGAGTCTTTAGGTACATTATTCGAGCAAATAAGTATTTCTATATAATTAAACTAATTGGAATGTCTGTATGATGTATATAAAAAAAATCATATTTCGAACATGATTTCTGTTCGTCCACAAGTAGGCTATTGTTTCGAGTAATCTCCGAAATGGTGGGAGCGATTTGAACAGGAATACTATAGGGATGGTTTTTTCTGCGATGTCGAACAAATGTGTTAATAAAAAATATTTATCACTTGGACACTCATTAAAAAAAATTCAGCATTTAGTGAAGAAACTTTTCCGATTTTGTTAACTAACCCAACTAACAATAGAGTAGTGACTTTTTTAACATCCTGTATTCTAAAACGGTTCTGAAAAACGGGATGGTATTCGATTCCTATTCTTATTGTGTCATGTCATTTGGTTCTTTTATCTTTCTTATAAAAAAATTGTTTTCATTTCAGAATCAATGTCCGAGATAAAATTAAAGGTCCGTGTTCCAGTAGTTAATTCAAGCACATGTACAAGTATATACAAGAAAGCGGGCAGAGTTATAAATGAGAAGCAACTTTGTGCCGGAGGCAAACAGGGTCAGGACTCGTGCCGAGGGGACTCCGGTGGACCTCTCATGGCCTCGATGCCATCCGCACAGAACTGGTTCGTGGTCGGAGTGGTGTCATATGGTCCCAGTCCGTGTGGCACGTCAAATTGGCCCGGAGTGTATACACGAGTCAGCTCATATGTAGAATGGATACAATCAAAGATTAGTCGTTAATTCTATCGAATTAAGACGAGACATTTTTTATTTTTTTTTAAAGTGGAATTATTTTTATATCGTAATTTTTACAAATAATAAAATTGGATGTATTTAATATCGAAAACAAAACCATAAAACGTAAACATGATATATTTGTTACTTATAACGAAAAAACAATTTTTAAATTTTTTATCTGTCTGTTTCAAAAATCTTTGTTTTGGGCAGCCTTAGAAACGGCTGGGCCTATTTCAATGGAGGTTTTACTGGTAGGTAGCTGATGTGTGGGGTGTAACTTAGTCTCTTATCTTAATTCTGTGCTGAGAAAGTCAGGGGCAACAACTAGTATGGAATATCATTGAAATCAAAATCTTTGAATACTCAAGAAATCAACTCATTATATTATATAATAAAAAACGACCGTTATAATTATTATTTTCTTATATTATACTCTCTATGTTGTGCCATGGTTTGTAATAAATAAATAAAAAATACTTCTTGTCTTTTAAATTACTGAAGCGGATTAAATAAAACATCACTATGCATGTTATAAAAATCTTTATTTTATAATCTATGGCTAATTTATATATCTATCAAAATGTTTATATCAGATCTAAAGATATTCGAATATTTATTATACTACAATATCTAAATCTTAATTAAATTTGAGACAGAACATTTGTACGAATTATAATATATATAAAACCCATGAAAGGTTATTGGCACATTTTAAATTTGATTCATAATACATTTTTCTTTGGAAATTTGATTGGTTAAAAATTCCATAGATAATTTATAAAAATACTTTAAATAATACTTTTCATAATTATAAATTAGCGGTTTCGCTTTAGTTGCCAATATTTATTTTGGATAATATCATTAAAAACATTAAGGAACTAACACTTTTTATACTATGATCATGATTTATCGTAATACTACAGATAAATGAACAAAAAAATATATTATATTAATAAAATTTATTTTTGTATTAACTATTTCCACTGATAAAAGTCAAAAATTTTCAACCCTCGTACTAAAAAAAAAAATTAATTTTTCATAAACCAGTGCTTGACCACAAACCCTTTTTATCGACAATCCAACCAGGAATATAAAAATCTCATCACAATCCTGAAAATAATGAATTAAAATTCATTGCAAACATTAATGAATGATATATGAACCACAAGGCTAATATTTTTATATTCTTGGTTAGTCTATACAAAATTATATGCAGATATTTTACCAGTGGAAATTTACGTTAAAATTAATTTGTCCATTTATAAAAACGTGCGTATGTAATTATTTGTGAACAGACAATTTTATAATCAAAAAGATATATAATATATAAAAGAAATACATTGAAACTACATATAAATATATTAAGGAATGTTATAATGGAATGTTATTGTGCTTATAAGGAACATTTTAATATAGAAAAGAAAAAAAAACCCTATCCATTAAGCAAACATATAAAAAAATGTTTACAGACAATAAAATATTTTAGTAAAATCAACAATGCACATAAAAATATCTTATTTCAGGTACATATCCCGAACTAAAGTTACTACTTAGGTACTGAAGAGCTTACTATGGACAAATGCTCAAAAAAAAACATAAAAACTTTGCAATTTGTGACAATGATACAAATTAAAAAATATATAATTAGCTTTATAATAAGTCTGTCTCTGTTACACTCAATTAAGCTGCAAGAAAAGGATATATTTTTGGATATCTATTTAAATCTAAAAGTATCATCAATATTGTATATTCCAAATAAATAATAATAATTAATAAAAAAAAACAAACACATACATACTTAAGAAGCAGCTGTTATTTCAATAGAGATGTTATCCGGGGTTGGAGAAGGAAATTCTTTATCTTCTTCAACCGTTTCTTCAATTTCTTTCTTCTTTTCTTCCTTCTCCGGTGCATCTCCATCATTTACAACTTCATCATCATTTCCATTAACTTGAATTCCTTTTAATACTGCTTCCTGTAGTTTCATACTGAACTCTGCATCAATTTCCGATATCTTATTAACCAATCTCTCTCTTTCCTCTTCAGTCCATGTTGGATACCATTCATTAAATAATTTTATCTGAAAGAATATATACTAAAAATTAATTGTTTGCATAGTTTTACATATTATATATCACTTATTTGTTCAAAAAAGAACTTGAAATGATGAGATGAAACACTGAAAATGATAACATAAAGAGTTAAAAAGCAAAAGTTAACATGACATGTGGGAAGAATGGTATATAACAAGTACATAAACTATAAGGTAAGAATGGGAAGTGGTAGTGGATTTGACCGAGGAAGGGACGCATAGGAAAGCGATATATGCTTTTTCTGTGCGTCTCCTCCATTGATTTAAGGTAGGCAATTCATCTGTTATTCCTTATATAGGTAGCAGTCACTGCACTTTTTCAGCGTTTTTAGGTGACTTCTTCACCTCGGTTTAAAAAATGTGGATAGTTTAATTTAGGGATAAACCTAACAAGACATAAATTGTATGAAAAGTGAAAAAAAGAGAGTGACTTGTAACTTCACTATTACTAGATTGATTTCAAAGACCGAAGAAAGTATGGCTTGGAGATGGTGTCTACAACTTAACTTTAAGGTAATAAAGGTTAAGTTGTAGTTACTTAAAGTTACAAAGTTGCTTATTTCTTGAAACATAAATGTTTTATAAATGTTTATGATAGTGTTTTATCAATAGTGTAGTCATAGTTTAGTTTACAGATAAAATTCCTTATTAACAACTATAAACTGAACTTGAAGAATTTACCTTTAAAGTATAGAAAACAATCACTAGTGGGAAATAACAAATATTATCATAGCTATTGTCTTGCGTAACTATGAGTCATATGCTGAGATATTTTAATTACATCTGTCATTAATAGCATTTGAGCAAATCACTATAATAAAACAAAAACATTATATTGTTTTTTTAAGAATCAAGCTGCATTTTGAAAAAACTTATACCCATAAAGAACTTAAAACCTATTAAATATAGGATGTTAAAATATTTTAGACAGAAAACAATATAAACTAAGCTATCTTGGTTGGTAACTCCTACACAATGTCTACTTTATAATTTGTTGAGTGAAAAGTAAGTGTAAACATTTGTTCCATTTACATATTTTATCAACATATGAGCATCCTGCTTGTTTAGTCATTTATCTCAGTGTTTAAACGTAAAATAATTTGGTTTTTGACATTTCTTTGCATGTTTATGTGCCAGCATGTCTGTATTTTAAGTTTTTATTAGAAACACTTTTATATGATTTGCATATATTCTCTACCTTCTCCATTCACTTGCTTATTATTCACTTGTCCAAGTTCAGCTGTATGTATATTAAAAGATCATAAAAACTACTTACACGGCACTGAAATAAGCTGACAGGTTTATCTTGACATGAGAGATTGGAGAGAGTTGCTGCAAGTTGATCAGGTTTATCGCTGCATGCTGCAGCTAGGACAGGTAGGAAGTCTTCACGCTGGTATTCACTGAACTCCTGGAACCATTGCAGTATGTACTGCAGCTGTGCTTGTGATGTTAAACCTGTGGCCGACATACTGCGGATGAAGGGACGATATTCACCTGGAAATACAGGAAAAATGTTTGTTAAAATATGTCAAAAAATTAAAGATTTTTTATATACTGGATTTTGTATAGCTGATTAAAAGCAATATAAATAATGTGGAAATTAATATCTTTAAGGACACAAATTAAGAAGTCAATACATACAAATAGAATGCACTTCTAGACATGTAAGCAGTCTCAAACCTTTTACTACAACAATCAAGGTTATTGTCTAGACTAGATTTATATTTTTATTTCTTTTTACAACTAAATATTAATGAAATTTTATTTAATCTAAATTAAATAATCCTTAGTAATAAAAAATTAAAAAGTCTATTATTTTAATTAACACTCTAAATTTAATTAAATTAATAAAATTTTGAAGCACTGACTAACTTTCAAGTGCAGGAATGCAAACTGCAGAATTAAATAAGATACTCATGTTAAGAGTTGTAAAATAATAATTAACACGACACGACACCACGAAGAATTCAATATAGACTGGCATTAATGGCATCAAAGTGATAGTTTCTCGATACAATGCCAACTTTCCACCACCTATTGACTACTACGCAAGGTTAAATAATCGACATTTCACCTGTACGTGTTATATCATACGGAGATTCACTTTCCATTCATTCGAATTTACATCTCAGTAATAGCTACATGTAACAATGCTAATTTATAAAAGAGAACGCTTTATCGCTATGTTACATATAATAAAATATACACAAACAAGTTTCACTTACCACTTTTCAACCTGTCCGATGTGAAGTATATTATATATTTGTTTCGCGTACTGATCTATATTAAAGGCTCACAAAATATTAAGTGAATTATAAATTTAAATAATCATTTAATGTTAATTACGTTTGTAAACTACGAGTTTTCGATATAAGCATTAAGCAGATTGATTTGACAACTTGACAACCAAAAACCACAACAAGTCAACAGAGATCAGAGATTAGAACAGCATAAATAACATTGTTATAAATTGTTGTTGACAGCAACACTGAATACTGTTTTTATCGATTGTTGGTTCATTGATCCTTTAACGATGTTTTCATGCATTAATAATTTATTTTAATAGAGTTTACTCCTAAGTTTAATCTTTTAATATTATTTTGGATAGATATCAAGGATCATCATCGTTCTGTATGTGTCCACTGCTGTACAGAGGGCTTCTACAATAAAATTAGTATAAGGTTCTACGAGCACCTCATCTTTCTGTCGTTTTCACGAGGTCATTAATCATTCTTGAAGGAGGTCAACTCTCATTTACTTGTAAATAAATAATAATTCACTAGGAAGAAAAACCAAACACATCTCATTCAAAAATTTCTTTTTATTAATACAAAATATGACTTCACTTCTAACGAATCTCATATGATAATGCAATTAACTTTGTACTTACACTTATTTATACATAGTATTTAAATAATTACTGTCGTTTACATATTGTTGGTCTTTTTTTTTCAAAAATACACATATCACAGACACGCGTTTTATAAATAGGGAAATAAAAAAATCATATCAAGCTAACACCTTGTTCACTGTCTCTCAACGTTAGAATATCGTTATTACAATTAAGAATATTATTCACAGCTTTTAAACGAAGTTTCTCAATGGGGATGTGAGAACAAAGCTTTTTACTAGTTACATTTATAATAGACATACATTTTCAGTTGTAGATTATTCACAACAAGTACATGCACTTACTAAATGAAGTGATCACATATTTTTATATCATCACAACGACCGCGGTCGGTGGGTTTTTTGATTTTTTTATGTAGCAACACCACAAAGTGAATAGCGTTTTTCCCGCGCAATTTTTGCATCGTTAAAAACTGTGTTCGTTAACTAATGTATTTAATTAGAAGCTAACTTTAGTACAGAAATGTTTAAGACTGTGTTATTGTGTTCCGTCATTGCTATTTTGCTGACTATATGTTCAGGCTGGAATAGGCAATACGAACGAAAAATTAATATAATCAACTATAAGGTACGATATTTAAAATGTTTTTCTCTGAGACAAAACAGTAATCGGACATTTCTAACGTTATTGCTAAACTTCTCAACATCTTTGTTCTTAAATAACTTATAATTCTAAAATATTACATGTGTCATTAGGTGCCTATGTATAGTAATTATGTACAAAATTAAGGGCAATTTACAAAATAAAAACATATAAAAACATTAAGTAATAGTAACTCATCACAATCCATGTATCACAAATGAGTTCACTTATATTTTCCCGCTTAATTTCCTGTACAATAACATGAGTCTTGTATGGATAGCGATGAAGTTTCGTTACATTATTTACTTACGATAAATTTTTTAATGTACAACTATGACGTCAGCCTCGAGTATCATGTTATTGTGCACGAGAATATTGAAACTGTATGGAACATGAATGTTAATTTCTAGGTAGATGTCAGTGACCATTTACAGACACTTCCGAGTGTTGGATTCAATGGTCGTGAGAATGTCCGTGGTCATGCGAGTGGCCGTGGTCATGGGAATGTCCATGGTCGTCGTCTCCGTGCGAGTGGCTGTGAGAATGACCCGCTGTAACAAAAAAAGTATGGTAAGTAAAATTCTTATCTGACTAGCTGTCGCCCGCGACTTCGTCCTCGTGGTATTAAAACAAAAGTATGTCTATGCGTATGTGTTCTTCGGGACTATGTTGTAGTAGATCTGTGCCAAATTTCAGCGAGATCCGTTGAACCGTTCACGGTATACCTTCAAACAAAAATCTATCCAAATTTTCGCGTTTATATTATTAGTAAGATAAACTAGGGCAATTTGGAGTGTGTTATTCGTTCAAACCTATCTTGTTTTGTTCTACATCTTAATAACAGAATATATTGTTATTTTAATACTTACTCAACAACTGTAATCCGAACATGAGTCCAAATCCTACGATAGCAGCGAAGTATTGGAGGATGCCGGTTCTATCGCTCTTCCATATTTCAAAGAAGATGACGTATAACAGAGTTCCTGACGCCAATCCCTGCAGGACGACGGAGTAGACACCCGCAGCAGTAGCGCCTTGACCTCCGACCAGAAGAAGCCCAATGCCAATACCCAATGGGGATACAATAGCGAATGTCGTGATATAGACCACGGAAAGCCATGTCTTTGTGCGTGTAGCGATTAATTCTACACCAATACAAAAGGCAATGACTAGCTTGTGGGCGGAAACCGCTCCTAACATGTACCTGTAAAATAATAATCACAAATTAATATTAAATAAAAAATTAAAGCGCCATCTGTTGTCGATATGGTAAATTAAAAAGTGTTTGTGCTAGTTGGCGATAGATGGCTGATCGAAATAATTCAAAGAACATACCAGACATGAGAAGTGGAAGACTCCAAACCGACAGCCAGGCCTTCAAACAACTCGTGAATGGAAAGAGCAAGCACAATGAGCAAACCGCGCAGTGCTGAGGTGACGTCGTCACCTTGCGTTATGGGCATGTGGCTGTGGTTGTGGGAGTGGCCATGGTGGTTGAGCTCTGGGTCCTGAAAACATTAAATTTTTATGTCAAAACTTATATAAATAAATCCTATATATGGGTTATTGCAAATCGCGACGGAAGTAGACCTTCGTCTGCTTTAAGATTCAAAGATTTGGTTGACATTTTTACCCGAGGGTCGTCGTAAAAATGTTTACACTCTTTACAGAAGAAAATATAGAAAAAAAAATAAGTAAGTAAGCATGTTACCTTTGACATCTTCATTGTGGGTGGGTCGGTGAGGTTAGCGATGGAATTGGTGATGCTCTTCTCGCCATTGGCATCAGAACTGCCGGCGCGGCTGCGTCTCACGCTGAGGTTCCGCACCAGCTGCGCTGACTGGCCGTTCTGTTTCTCGCGATGATGGATGTAGATGTGCACCAGTTCCTCCACCAGATACATGATGAAGAAGCCGCAGCACATCAACAGCGGAGGCAAAGAGAATTCGAATTCTCGAAGTCTGCCAATTCCTGTGAAATATTTATAGACAATTAATCATCAAGATTTTGTGAAAAATAATTCCCACTGAGATTTCAATTGGAAATATCCGATTGAACACAATAATCTCCCGAACTATCCTTGCTGGATTGGAAAAAATGTTTCCCATTCTTACCACAAAAAAGAATGTTGATTTAAGGGTTAATTAGTTACGAATATCTTTTTTATTTTAGTTGATTACGTCGATTTCTTAAACTGATAGAGCGATTGAAGAAAACATTTTCCATTTTGTTAGCCATATGATTTGTTTTAGCTATAAATATGAGGCATCAATTACTTATATTAGGTTTTCAGACCATCTGCTTCGTGATTTTAATAATATTAATATTCATTTAATTATAATATTCATTTACTGTGTCGTGACTTCTGTTAACATCATTTTCTATTCAAAGTTGCATTTAGATAATAGTTTGTGATGTCATCTTTATGGCTTATGATAAGTGTTGGTTTTGTTCCTACATTTATGGAATGATACTTTTAATTTTAATGTTTAGAAAAGGCCCAGTATATGAATGTCCCAATTTATACCCGGAAAGTAAGAAATTTCCTATAAGTATGGAATGACTGTGTGAAAGAGGATATGCGTAAGAAGGGGGTAGACTCGGATATGACGGCTGATAGAGATGTATGGAGGAGTAGTACATACTGTGCCGACCCTCGATAGGGATAAGGGCAGGTTGATGATGATGATGAAAGTAAGAAATTTCCCGTCTCTACCTTTTGGTACAAAACAATCATGTTATTACCATGACAATTCATTGAAAAGTTAATTTTCAGCAACTGTTTAAATAAATTATTTAATAAGCAAACGGAATTTGTCAGGTAATTGTGTAACTAACTAAGATTTATAATCGTTTTTCCGTCTGTGCAAACATAGCGCCGGTCTCTACAACCGCATGTATGTAGGTATTGTGTCATAACTAATTAATACATGTTCTCACGAAGGTTGCGTACAGATTACAAGAAGTGTAAACGGATATGCTTGACTTGAATTATCGATTTTAATCATCATCATCAGCTCACTATATGTCCCCACCGAGGGACTGTGAGCCTACCCTAAGTTAAGAGTGACTAGGCCATAGTCAACCACGCTGGCCAAGTGCAGGTTGGTTGACTTCACACATATCTTTGAATTTCTTCTCATATATGTGCTGGTTGCATCACGATGTTTTCCTTCGCCGTTAGAACGTCGGATATAAATCAGAAATCGAAAAACACATTGGTACATGGCGGGATTCGAACCCAGGACCTGCAGATTGCAAGTCATGTGCTTGACTCCTGAGCCGCCGACGCTCTATCGATTTTTATATTCAATGTATATACCAAACTAAAAATAAAGCTAGATAATGTAAAAAATCGATTACAAATCGATGCGTTCGCATGGTAGGATGCCCAAGAGGCTGGTGGCATTTCCCCGTTGAATGGCCAGGCTTAACCTTTGTTCGAAATGCGCGCCAACCCTTGGATTCCGTAAGGCGTCGATGAGATACTAAATTAGTTTAATTTTAATTAAACTTAAAATTTAATTCCCAAAACCAATAAGTTTTAATAATATCAAACTTTATCGTAGTGTCATTAATTTTAAAGCGGTCACTTTATCAACGAATTACTAATATGAATTAAATATAATATTTTCCTTATATAATTTTTAGAGGTTATAAAATTTATTATAAGCTACAAAATAGATTTATAAGTATAGGAATACAGCGAAATCCTATAACAGAGCTTTGTTTTAAATGAATAAAAACATGACCATTAATGCCATTTGTGGCTTAATTACTAATATGGTGTTGTTACTCGATGTTATTCAAAGGTTATAAAGACAGAAGCAGAATTCCAGTGACATAAAAACTGGCCAAGTGCGAGTCAGACTCGCGCCCCGAAGGTTCCGTACAAACCTGTATATATGTGTAAGTAAAAGTTTCTTTTCGAGGTACGGAACCCTAATTACCAATATCAACAGTTCATAGACAACTCACAACAGATGAAGAATAAAGGTTTGCGTTACCAATAAATAACTTAATGATTATATCATCTCGAATAATTTAACCTTGACATTTCTTTTTTACGTTGTTTGAGCGTGCGTGTGTGTTTTTGTTTTTTTTTTAACAATGCACTCGTGCGGCAAAAGCGTGGAACTACACTACGCCCTTACACATGAATTGTAATTCCGGCCATTGTTTTTATTTGGTTCAAGGATTTTTGACTATATTATGGTTAAAAAAATAAAACTAACAACTTGTTAAATACTTATGTACTTAATTACATTATCATTCAAATGAACTAAATTTGACATAGACTAAATTGGGACTTTTTAAATCTTTGTCTTTGGTTATGTGCCTTTGAAACACTAGTGCCAGACCGTATGCCCGTGGAAAGCCGCACGCAACTAAAGTTTGTGTGGCTAGCTGTTAAGTAAAAATAAGCACTTTAATTTCTCATTTAGATCAATGTGCCTCAAAATATATTCTTGAATAAAGGGATTGGACTAACTTAACATTCAAAGCACACGCCTGCAAAGATCTAGCTGAAATTTAGCGCAGAGTTTAATCCTGCTACGACAGAGTCGCGGGTGACAGCTGTAGGTTTAATATTTATCGAAAAGATAATACATACAAGCAATATTTGTTGTTATTGCGATGCAGTTCTTAAAATCGATTGCATGAGAGCATTGCTTAACATTAACTTGCGCCTGGCCTTGGGGCTTATTTACGCTTACTGACACACCACACAATATTTTATGTCTTTAGTTTCGTAATAATATTATCAAATAAATATAGTTCATCATTGTTCATAGATTTAATTATTTTATAACATCATTATTAACTATATCACAATGACAAAATATTTAAATATGCGTAACATGACATTGCGAAATTGCAATTTATAACTGCATTCTACCAGTACGTAAGTACAGCAAAAAAACGAATTTGTTCTCAATTAAATACCAAATGGTAATAAAGAGCACTGTTTTGCAGAAACATGTCAATGGAACAAAGATTTGTTGTTTGTTATTTTTGTATAATTTGATGAAAATAATGTTACATATTCAGCATGGATCAAGTGCGGAAGATTTAAGTGGGCGACGTGCCCTGGATCCTCGTATAGATAATGCTTTAAGATTCAGTTTGTGCATCGCCGCTACTTTGAATTGTAAATAACGTATTTCCCTAAGCTGCACGACTTATGTCAAGCCTTTCTTCTATTTCGGTTGTACCGTCGTTTTGGGCATTCCATTGGTTATTTCAGTTCGTTTTTTGTAAGTACTCTAAACTTTTAAAAAACTTTAACAGTTAAAGTTCGTTCGTAAGTTTCAATCTATTTGAGGTTGGCAGCATTATTCCACGGCCTCTGTAACCCATTATATATTTCTTATGAAGGTTTTTTTATTATCTCTTCTACGATCTATCCAAACTTTCTTTAGTTTTTCTCTATCGTTCTCCACGGTTTATTCACATCATTGTTTTAATATTTTATAAAGAATATTTGATAAAACCAAATTCTCGATTAGGGTCAGACGATACACTCAAAACAATACGAACGCGGAAGCGACATCTATAGTTACGTGAACCATGAGAATACTAAAATACTGACCTGAACAGTTGTCTGGTGACTAGTCGTTGCGCAAACATACGCAGCAGAATATTCTTATCACACCATCCAATCACAAAATACTGAACTTTTGGAAACCAATAAACATTGATATAATGCAGCATTATTTTGATTTATGTCATACATGTTACTGAATACAAATGTATTTGAGTCATTTGAGGCTCTGTGAATGATTAGATTCACATTAAATCCAATAGATGGAGTTGCTTAGCTTTAAAACATATGTTTTAATTTTATGATCCGTAATTTAATTTATAATGAATGCATCAAATGCAATTCTAATCCCTTTACTAATAAGAGAAATATTTTAGTTTAAATGAAGCATGAAATCACTATATTCCGAAGCCGTAACTAAATAGTCTATAACCAATAACTTGGTTAATACTACTGCTTTCATAAAATAGTTTTTCACATTCCTTTGAGTTTATTTCATTTTCTCACGAAGGAGTTTCTATGTATAAAAATGGTCTTGACGACGGACGGACGGACAACAAAGTGATCCTATAAGAGTTCCGTTTTTTTTCCTATGAGTTACGGAACCCTAAAAATGATCCATTGAATTGCGTCTTCAGTTTTTGAGTGTCGGATCAATACATTAATTTTAAAATAATTAAGTTAAAGGCTATATAATCTACAAGAAGTTGTCTTAGATATGTAAACGTTCTGATATCAAATCTAAAACGAGTTTTTGATGTTACCGGTCTGCCCATGATCGTCTGGGGAAACCCTTGCATTTGGGATTCCCCATGCATTATAAATCTATTAATACCAGTCACCAGATTTTCTCGGTTAAAATCTCATCATTATTTTGCTATCACCAAAATAATGATGGGGAAATTTATTTATAAATATATTTTATAGGTGATAATCAAATGGTTTAATACAAATTGTATCATTAAGCAAACCGTTTAAAATCGTATATAACATATATGTATCTTTATATATATAATTCTTCTGTGCGTGTGTATGTCACTGAACTTCTCTCAAACGACTGGACCGATTTTGATGAAATTTTTTGTGTGTGTTCAAGGGGATCTGGGAATGGTTTAGATTCATAATTTTGTCCGCTGGACAATGTTTTTTTAATTAATTTTTAATTTATTAGTAGTTGTTGATTTTGGAATGTTTTACATTGGATCCGACAAACAGCGCTACCATCGCAGTGTCAAATTTTAAATAATATTCGAATTAAAGACGTGTAGACAGGACAACGTCTGTCGGGTCCGCTAGTATTGATATAAATTAACAAGGATATTTTAGAATAAATATATATTTTTAGATATCTTAGTCTCTTTGTACAGATTTGATGTACACTAAGATACTATTTTAGTGACCGTTAAATAACTTCAGTTAATGAATT